CTTCTTACATGTGTGATACTGTGTATACTTCTTACATGTGTGATACTGTGTATACTTCTTACATGTGTAATACTGTGTAAACTTCTTACATGTGTGATACAGTATATACTTCTTACATGTGTGATACAGTGTATACTTCTTACATGTGTGATACTGTGTATACTTCTTACAAGTGTGATACTGTGTATACTTCTTACATGTGTGATACAGTGTATACTTCTTACATGTGTGATACTGTGTATACTTCTTACATGTGTGATACAGTGTATACTTCTTACATGTGTGATACTGTGTATACTTCTTATATGTGTGATACTGTGTATACTTCTTACATGTGTGATACAGTGTATACTTCTTACATGTGTGATACTGTGTATACTTCTTACATGTGTGATACAGTGTATACTTCTTACATGTGTGATACAGTGTATACTTCTTACATGTGTGATACTGTGTATACTTCTTATATGTGTGATACTGTGTATACTTCTTACATGTGTGATACAGTGTATACTTCTTACAAGTGTGATACTGTGTATACTTCTTACATGTGTGATACAGTGTATACTTCTTACATGTGTGATACTGTGTATACTTCTTACATGTGTGATACTGTGTATACTTCTTACATGTGTGATACTGTGTATACTTCTTACATGTGTGATACTGTGTATACTTCTTACATGTGTGATACTGTGTATACTTCTTACATGTGTGATACTGTGTATACTTCTTACATGTGTGATACAGTGTATACTTCTTACAAGTGTGATACTGTGTATACTTCTTACATGTGTGATACAGTGTATACTTCTTACATGTGTGATACAGTGTATACTTCTTACATGTGATACAGTGTATACTTCTTACATGTGTGATACTGTGAATACTTCTTACATGTGTGATACAGTGTATACTTCTTACATGTGTGATACAGTGTATACTTCTTACAAGTGTGATACTGTGTATACTTCTTACATATGTTATATTGTATACTTCTTACATGTGTGATACAGTGTATACTTCTTACAAGTGTGATACAGTGTATACTTCTTACAAGTGTTATATTGTATACTTCTTACATGTGTGATACAGTGTATACTTCTTACATGTGTGATACTGTGTATACTTCTTACATGTGTTATATTGTATACTTCTTACATGTGTGATACAGGGTATACTTCTTACATGTGTGACACTGTGTATACTTCTTACATGTGTGATACTGTGTATACTTCTTACATATATGATACTGTGTATACTTCTTACATGTGTGATACTGTGTATACTTCTTACATATATGATACAGTGTATACTTCTTACAGGTGTGATACAGTGTATACTTCTTACAAGTGTCATACTGTGTATACTTCTTACATGTGTGATACGGTGTATACTTCTTACATGTATGAAACTGTGTATACTTCTTACATGTGTGATACTGTGTATACTTCTTACATGTGTGATACAGTGTATACTTCTTACATGTGTGATACTGTGTATACTTCTTATATGTGTGATACAGTGTATACTTCTTACATGTGTGATACTGTGTATACTTCTTACATGTGTGATACAGTGTATACTTCTTACATGTGTGATACTGTGTATACTTCTTACATGTGTGATACAGTGTATACTTCTTACATGTGTGATACTGTGTATACTTCTTACATGTGTGATACGGTGTATACTTCATACATGTGTGATACTGTGTATACTTCTTACATGTGTGATACAGTGTATACTCCTTACATGTGTGATACTGTGTATACTTCTTACATGTGTGATACTGTGTATACATCTTACATGTGTGATACTGTGTATACTTCTTACATGTGTAATACTGTCTCTACTTCTTACATGTGTGATACTGTGTATACTTCTTACATGTGTGATACTGTGTATACTTCTTACATATATGATACTGTGTATACTTCTTACATGTGTGATACTGTCTCTACTTCTTACATGTGTGATACTGTGTATACTTCTTACATGTGTGATACTGTGTATACTTCTTACATATATGATACTGTGTATACTTCTTACATGTGTGATACTGTGTATAGTTCTTACATGTATGATACTGTGTATAGTTCTTACATGTGTGATACAGTGTATACTTCTTACATATATGATACTGTGTATACTTCTTACATGTGTGATACAGGGTATACTTCTTACAAGTGTGACACAGTGTATACTTCTTACATGTGTGATACAGTGTATACTCCTTACATGTGTGATACAGGGTATACTTCTTACATGTGTGATACTGTGTATACTTCTTACATGTGTGATACAGTGTATACTTCTTACATGTGTGATACTGTGTATACTTCTTACATGTGTTATATTGTATACTTCTTACATGTGTGATACAGGGTATACTTCTTACATGTGTGACACTGTGTATACTTCTTACATGTGTGATACTGTGTATACTTCTTACATATATGATACTGTGTATACTTCTTACATGTGTGATACTGTGTATACTCCTTACATGTGTGATACTGTGTATACTTCTTACATGTGTGATACAGTGTATACTTCTTACATTTGTGATACTGTGTATACTTCTTACATGTGTGATACAGGGTATACTTCTTACATGTGTGATACTGGGTATACTTCTTACATATATGATACTGTGTATACTTCTTACATGTGTGATACTGGGTATACTTCTTACATATATGATACTGTGTATACTTCTTACATGTGTGATACAGTGTATACTTCTTACATATATGATACTGTGTATACCTTTTACATGTGTGATACTGGGTATACTTCTTACATATATGATACTGTGTGTACTTCTTACATGTGTGATAAAGTGTATACTTCTTACATGTGCGATACTGTGTATACTTCTTACATGTGTGATACAGTGTATACTTCTTACATGTGTGATACTGTGTATACTTCTTATATGTGTGACACTGTGTATACTTCTTACATAAATGATACTGTGTATACTTCTTACATGTGTGATACAGTGTATACTTCTTACATGTGCGATAGTGTGTATACTTCTTACAAGTGTGATACTGTGTATACTTCTTACATGTGTGATACTTAGTATACTTCTTATATGTGTGATACTGTGTATACTTCTTACTTGTGCAATAGTGTATACTTCTTACATGAGAGACACTGTGTATACTTCTTACATGTGTGATACTGTGTATACTTCTTACATGTGTGATACTGTGTATACTTCTTCCATGTGTGATACTGTGTATACTTTTTACATGTGTGATAATGTGTATACTTCTTACATGTGTGATACTGTGTATACTTCTTACATGTGTGATACTGTGTATACTTCTTACAAGTGTCATACAGTGTATACTTTTTACATGTGTGATAATGTGTATACTTCTTACATGTGTGATACTGTGTATACTTCTTACATGTGTGATACAGTGTATACTTCTTACATGTGTGATACTGTGTATACTTCTTACATGTGTGATACTGTGTATACTTCTTACATGTGTGATACTGTCTATACTTCTTACATGTGTGATACTGTGTATACTTCTTACATGTGTGATACTGTCTATACTTCTTACATGTGTGATACTGTGTATACTTCTTACATGTGTAATACTGTGTATACTTCTTACAAGTGTGATCCTGTGTATACATCTTACATGTGTAATACTGTGTATACATCTTACATGTGTGATACTGTGTATACTTCTTACATGTGTGATACTGTGTATACTTCTTACATGTGTGATACTGTCTATACTTCTTACATGTGTGATACTGTGTATACTTCTTACATGTGTGATACTGTCTATACTTCTTACATGTGTGATACTGTGTATACTTCTTACATGTGTAATACTGTGTATACTTCTTACAAGTGTGATCCTGTGTATACATCTTACATGTGTAATACTGTGTATACATCTTACATGTGTGATACTGTGTATACTTCTTACATGTGTGATACAGTGTATACTTCTTACATGTGTGATACTGTGTATACTTCTTACATGTGTGATACTGTGTATACTTCTTACAAGTGTGATCCTGTGTATACATCTTACATGTGTAATACTGTGTATACATCTTACATGTGTGATACTGTGTATACTTCTTACATGTGTGATACAGTGTATACTTCTTACATGTGTGATACTGTGTATACTTCTTACATGTGTGATACTGTGTATACTTCTTACATGTGTAATACTGTGTATACTTCTTACAAGTGTGATCCTGTGTATACATCTTACATGTGTAATACTGTGTATACATCTTACATGTGTGATACTGTGTATACTTCTTACATGTGTGATACAGTGTATACTTCTTACATGTGTGATACTGTGTATACTTCTTACATGTGTGATACTGTGTATACTTCTTACATGTGTAATACTGTGTATACTTCTTACATGTGTGATACTGTGTATACTTCTTACATGTGTAATACTGTCTATACTTCTTACATGTGTGATACTGTGTATACTTCTTACATGTGTGATACTGTCTATACTTCTTACATGTGTGATACTGTGTATACTTCTTACATGTGTAATACTGTGTATACTTCTTACAAGTGTGATCCTGTGTATACATCTTACATGTGTAATACTGTGTATACATCTTACATGTGTGATACTGTGTATACTTCTTACATGTGTGATACAGTGTATACTTCTTACATGTGTGATACTGTGTATACTTCTTACATGTGTGATACGGTGTATACTTCTTACATTTGTGATGCAGTGTATACTTCTTACATGTGTGATACTGTGTATAGTTCTTACATGTGTGATACTGTGTATACTTCTTACATGTGTGATACAGTGTATACTTTTTACAAGTGTCATACTGTGTATACTTCTTACATGTGTGATACTGTGTATACTTCTTACATTTGTGATACTGTGTATACTTTCTGTGTTTCTGATACATGTCACTGGAATTCTCGACGAAATGTCTCAGAAATATAACAAAAAATGTTGTCACAATTAAATATAATTTTTATTCTTCTAAAGTTAAAAGAAAAGCCACACATTCACCTTAGACACGTAACATACACTGGTTGCCAGGTAACCTGTCATCACTTGTAGACACAAGTTATCTCCCCTCGGTTCCACACTGATTACAGGAAATGGAGGTAGAAAGAGGGATTACTACACCACTGAGATGTCGCTCTTCAGTACGTGAAAATTACTCAAGGGAGACAACTTTTAATGTTTTTCAGCCATTGCCCTTTCAACAAAGTTGTTGGTTGGTTTGGTTTGTTGGACACGCCTCACTCAGCAATATTCCAGCTATATGACGGCGGTCTGTAGATAATCGAGTCTGGACCAGATAATCCAGTGATTAATATCATGAGCATCGATCCACGCAATTGGGATACGATGACATGCATCAACCAAATCAGAGAGCCTGACCACCCGATCCCGTTAGTCGCCTCTTACGACAAGCATAGTCACCTTTTACGGCAAGCATGGATTACTGAAAGTAGAATCACACGTTGAGGCCTTATAGGTCACAGAAGAGAGGTAACATTGTCGGTAACACCCATACCTCTATATTGGCACTAGTAGCCATAAATATTTTATGACCAGATTTGGCTGATGTTATGAAACTTGATTGAAGCGTATCGATAAAGTTACATTTATTAACATTTAAACCCAAATTTTCCATGACGTTATGTAGGGACAGAGACCATAAAATAAAAATCTATTTTATGGTCTCTGATGTTGATGTCTCCTTCCAAAATGACCATTCAGTCAGAGCGCAAATATTTTTGGCACCTAAATCAAATATCAACTGCAGGATTAATTATGAAAGACACTTGCGAAGTGCTACTTGCTGAAAGATTAATATGATTGATGGAGACCAAGAAATAGAAAGGCAGATCTTATCAAAAGCAAGAAGGTTACCAGATGAAACAATAAAGAACCAGACTTGTCCGTTAGGAGGGAAGCACGTGTACAAGTGATGGCGGGTCAACTCTGACCAATAGCAGGCTAAGCAAGACAAGGCTAGCAGCATGGGTATGAATTAGGAGACAGCAAGGCAGGGCGTACCTTCCGTGATGATGGCGAAGCAGTGGTACCATCAAAGACGTGTTACTTGCCATCCTAGAAGAAAGTGATCGTTCGACAAGGCAATCGACTAGTGAATCCTATGTTAAGGTGTAGAATGGCATAGACGATGCCTTGTGAACAAGCACTCGACTCATACATCCCATGCTGCTAGCGGCGCAGAAGTAGCCTCATCGATAAGCAGCCACCCACTGATTTGCATGATGTGTTGCCAAGCAACGTTGTCCCTACAGCTGCAGACAATACTATGTGTGATGAGGATACATGTCATATTTACAAACATACATGTACATTGTTGAACATAACAAGCGACCGTCTCCATGGTAATGTTGAACCAGCCGGTGCCAGGTTCTACGTGTCCATGGCAACAAAGACAGCCAATCGTCTCTCAGTACCCCACTACTCATCAATGATTCGTTGTCCAAACTGGTCAGCTGCTTCTGTTGCCATGGTATCATCCCAAGGAACGCTGGCACCAGCTGGGATGTCTTCACAACAGTGTTATCATATAATTCCTGTTGCCAAGCAACACTTTAACTACTATATTTAATGACATTGTAGTCCTTTAACTATCTGAGCACTAAAAATGCATTTAATGCAAATAAAAATAAAATAACATGGTGAATTTAAAGTCCTCCCGACTGGCATTAATGCATACCATCTTTCTAGATTATCTTTTTATTGAACACACCCAGTGCATACACACTACAGGTTTACGCTCAGGTTGGATAGATGAATTGAAAAGTCAAAGGCCAAATACCACGATCGAAGTGATGGTCTAGAAACATGGTAAGCATTCCTTTCAACAAACATGGGACAAATAAAGTCCCTCAACTTTATCCTTGACCATAATATTCCAAAATTTCATGGTGAAGGTCACAAACACCGGTTCCGTGTGTATCACATGAACGGCTAATCTGAAGCCACACAACTATTCCAATTTTCCCTACTAGTCAGATCGTGAAATGCTGACTGCAAACATCTGGCATTTAATGCCAACAGTTTATGTGACCATAATCCTACTTTGCGAATTATACTTTTATCAAAAGTTTTAGTATCAATCCCATTTTCTTCCCACAATGTTCTCATGTCTAACATCTTTTTGTAAAGTAATTGTGTTATATGATAATTTTTAATACAGTTGTATAATATAGCTCAAGATATAACCTGATTCAAAACGACATGCTGTGTGATGAAAAACAAAGTCACAAGAAAATACTTGTCCTACCAATAACGCTGGGACGAGTCTAAATTTACTGTTACCCGACCTTAACCGGGGAACCACTCCAGGTCTCAAGTTAGGTACAAAATGTTCAAATGGGAAGTTTTTTAATGGCAAAAAGTATTTATATATAGTATAAAACGATCTGATCGTGCCTATGCTGAAGCTGGCTGAAGCTTTGTCTTTACTAAAACATATAAAAATCAGAAGGAATGTGTGCACACTCAGAAAGAAATGCGAACATTAGCGACTCGTTCTTATAAGGTGTAACCATGAAATTTTATTGTTAATGTCCTGAAGAAATATATCACATGACTAACCACGGGTCCGGGTAGTCCTGTGGGTACCCGGGTCGTACTAAGTACCCACCCAACCCGAGTACCCGAGTTACCCGTCCCAGCCCTACCTACCTATATTAAATCCTAATGACAGCGAAGAAATTATTTCTTTAACATTATACATAACCTGGAAGACAAGGTTAATAAGGCTGAAACAAAGTTGGACAAGTTAGTTTACATTCTGATTCTTTCTTAAAAAGAGACAAGGCTCAGGATATGTGCAGTCATAGCTACTTGGTTTCTAGTCATTCAAAAAACACTTCCTTAACGTCACAGTTGAAATTCCGTTTTCACAATAAAACCTTTTAACAACTAAGTACAATACGACCTCCAAATGATAAAAGACGTAAATTCTCTTAAAACATCATCACATCGAAGACGAGAAGATGCAGTCCATCTGAACCACCACTCATGTAAAGGTTGAATGGTTGTTATGGTAACCAGAACAAAACATTTACTGAACATGGCTGGGGCAAGATGGTGCATGACATCTGTCAGTTCTATAATCCCCTTCGCCAGAATCTAAATACAGGCCTAAACTAACTGACTGCCTCTGACTGAGTTTGATTTTACGCCGCTTTTAGCAATATTCCAGCAATATCACGGCGGGGGACACCAGAAAGGGGCTTCACACAATGTACCCATGTCGGGAATCGAACCCGGGTCTTTGGCGTGACGAGCGAACGCTTTAACCGCTAGGCTACCCGAACGCCCCCCTAAACTAACAGATGTCACAAACTGCTCAATGTACTCTCTCGCTTCATATGAATGTAAATACTTCCAAGGTCACGTAAATCTAACAAATCAAGTTATTTCTGAAGGTGGTAGTTCTTGCTACCTTCATTGAATTTCGCAATAACTGACAGCTATCGGTCTCCATTAAGGGGAGATAACTACCAACACTCTCATCGATGCTGACGGTACAGAACGGACGGACAAGCAGATGCGCAGTTATAAGCTATAAGCACTACAAGCAATACTGATAGATAGGCTTAATCTAGATTCATGTCAAATATAAGTTTTACTAAGTACTTACATGTTCCATAATTACAAGAAGTTCCCACAAGCGTGTTCAACCTATATGTTCTAGATTAAGCCTTCAAGTGCTCTTTACTGATCTCCCAAGCCTCAACCCCCCAGCAGCCAAACAAGTATTCCAGCCCACCTGCCGCCCAATTTTCTGGATGGTCAGTTCTTTCACTAGTTTTTAAGTCATCTTTATATGTCTGGTGTATTTAATAAAATGGTGCTAGCACAGGCTATGTAGTTTGACAGGTAGACCTGGAAAGGATATCTCTGTCAGCACCAAAGGTCGACCTTTGCACTCTACATCTACCAGCACCAAAGGTGGATCTTTGCACTCTACATCTGTCAGCACCAAAGGTCGACCTTTGCACCCTATATCTGCAAGCACCAAGGTCGACCTTTGATCTTTTTTGTGAGCACCAAAGGTCGACCTTTGCACTCTATGTCTGCCAGCATCAAGGTCGACCTTTGATCTTTGTCTGTCAGCACCAAGGTCGACCTTTAGCTCTTTGTGTGTCAGCACCAAGGTCGACTTTTTCATGCCATTTCTGTCAGCACCACAGATCGACCTTTACACTTTATGTCTCTCAGCACCACGGGTCGACCTGTCAATTAACTCTATGTACAATATAGTTGTCTGCCATACTATGGTACAGGAGAGATCAGGGAGCGCACATGCAACAGTAGCAACACAAGCGCATCGTGCTTGAAGCGGATGAAGGCCAAGAATCACAAAGCATCTACTCCCAGGATCACCCCATTTAAACGTTCCTAGTCTACCTGTGCACACAGCTATAAAATGATTCAATGATAAACTACATTCCTCTCCATACATTGTAACATTACCTGGGCGCAGACACTGAATTGCCAAATACCTGAACAACACAACCATACTAACAAGGACAGACCAATTAAATGATACACATTCAAACTGACATCATATTGTTATGAGATAAATCCTACTGTCTGTGAACCACATAGATATACACTTTAGCACAAAGCACACATATATAACAGCTCAAGGTTACCCAAAAGGTAAAGGTCACCCAAAAGGTCAAATGAGGTTTACTTAGGTCAAGGTCAGCCTTAAAAAATGAATAATCGAAACATGCACAAAAGTCAATACAATCAGATCTGTGCCTAACAGTGTGTACAATAAAGTGTCACTTACTTCTGTGGTGAACTAACAACTGAGAGCTGCTTCGGGGTTAAACATTGTTATACACTGTTACAATTGAAAAAGTGCATCCTTAGTTTCCTAGTTGCCATATGACATATTGTACACAGTTGTCTGAGGAATCAACAAAGTGGCACAATAATTGATACAAAGTAGAACACAAGTGTGTGACAATGAGGGACTGGATTTAGATTTAAAAAGGTGTATGTCCACATTGTTGTATAAAGAGTGTTGCTGCTGCTGATGCTGCTGCTGAAGTGGTGGGATGAAGGCTGTATAGGACGTCTGAGGTAGATTAACTGGAGGTACAATGTGTAATGCTATGTGTCTCACACCACCTTCTACCAACACACACCTGATCTGGTTCTACTTCCACAACCTTCCCATCCTTCTACCAACACACACCTGATCTGATTCCGCTTCCACAACTTTCCCATCCTTCTACCAACACACACCTGATCTGATTCCGCTTCCACAACCTTCCCATCCTTCTACCAACAAACATCTGATCTGTTTCCGCTTCCACAACCTTCCCATCCTTCTACCAACACACACCTGATCTGGTTCCACTTCCACAACCTTCCCATCCTTCTACCAACACACACCTGATCTGGTTCTGCTTCCATCTACCTTTCCATCCTTCTACCAACACACACCTGATCTGTTTCCGCTTCCACAACCTTCCCATCCTTCTACCAACACACACCTGATCTGTTTCCACTTCCACAACCTTCCCATCCTTCTACCAACACACACCTGATCTGGTTCCACTTCCACAACCTTCCCATCCTTCTACCAACACACACCTGATCTGTTTCCACTTCCACAACCTTCCCATCCTTCTACCAACACACACCTTATCTGGTTCCGCTTCCACAACCTTCCCATCTTTCTACCAACACACACCTGATCTGGTTCCACTTCCACAACCTTCCCATCCTTCTACCAACACACACCTGATCTGGTTCCGCTTCCACAACCTTCCCATCCTTCTACCAACACACACCTGATCTTGTTCCACTTCCACAACCTTCCCATCCTTCTACCAACACACAACTGATCTGGTTCCACTTCCACAACCTTCCCATCCTTCTACCAACACACAACTGATCTGGTTCCACTTCCACAACCTTCAAATTCCTTCTACCAGCACACACCTGATCTGGTTCCACTTCCACAACCATCCCATCCTTCAACCAACACACATCTGATCTGATTCCACTTCCACAACCTTCCCATCCTTCTACCAACACACACCTGATCTGGTTCCACTTCTACAACCTTCTACCAACACACACCTGATCTGGTTCCGCTTCCACAACCTTCCCATCCTTCTACCAACACACACCTGATCTGGTTCCGCTTCCACAACCTTCCCATCTTTCTACCAACACACACCTGATCTGGTTCCACTTCCACAACCTTCCCATCCTTCTACCAACACACACCTGATCTGGTTCCGCTTCCACAACCTTCCCATCTTTCTACCAACACACACCTGATCTGGTTCCACTTCCACAACCTTCCCATCCTTCTACCAACACACACCTGATCTGGTTCCACATCCACAACCTTCCCATCCTTCTACCAACACACACCTGATCTGTTTCCACTTCCACAACCTTCCCATCCTTCTACCAACACACACCTGATCTGGTTCCACTTCCACAACCTTCCCATCTTTCTACCAACACACACACACCTGATCTGTTTCCGCTTCCACAACCTTCCCATCCTTCTACCAACGCACACCTGATCTGGTTCCACATCCACAACCTTCCCATCCTTCTACCAACACACACCTGATCTGGTTCCACTTCCACAACCTTCCCATCCTTCAACCAACACACACCTGATCTGGTTCCACTTCCACAACCTTCCCATCCTTCTACCAACACACACCTGATCTTGGATACCATTAAGTAAGGGACCAACCAGTTAATATTCTTGAGGGGGGAAGGGTATGGGCTGGAATTCAAGAATTTTCGGGAACAAATCCATTTCATCGAAAAAATCCCAGGACCCTCAACAACATCAAATGGTAGGTCTCTAACCTTCTACCAACACACATACCTGATCTGGAACCGCCTTCGCCTACTATCCCAAGGGGTGCCATTAGGCATCCTTCTATCAACAACCCCCAAAGACCCCATATCATTATTACTGTACCGAATACCAAGTACCACACCACCACCCACCCACGACCATGGCTATATTCCCCTTTTCCCAAAATATTTATTTCTGATCCCCCGAAACTATCCAAAATTTCTGAACAATCGCAAACAGTGATAAACAGCTCTACTCCTTCAAATATGTTTCCTCCTAACAAGACAGCAACCACACTAATTAGGCTTGATCCAGTTTACCCAATATACTAAATATTAAAAGCCTAACATGGAGTTGCATGAGTGATACCAACACCCCAAGGAGAGCCATCAGAGCGTGAGTGTGCTGACAGAAGATGGTGAGAGGAGAGTGTTTTGTACTCGCGATACCGATTGTAGCTGCTCCACAGTCCAATGTCCCTAGGCTGGTCTACTGCAGGGAGGCACAGACAGGCTGACCCAGCACTACTATAAGTCGATATATTTCATTTTCTCCAGTATTGAGTAAAAGAATTTATGTCAATAAAATTCAAATTCTGTTAAAAAGAATTATGTTAAAAAAAACACCCACCATCCCTACCCTTGAAATTTCATCCTCCTAACCCCAAGTCCTGCCATCCCCCCACCCAATTATGAACCCCAAACAATTAACCACCTAGACCTCTCACCCCCAAACAATTAACCACCTAGTCCTCTCACCCCCAAACAATTAACCACCTAGTCCTCTCACCCCAAACAATTAACCACTTAGTCCGCTCTCACCCCCAAACAATTAACCACCTAGTCCTCTCACCCCCAAACAATTAACCACCTAGTCCACTCTCACCCCCAAACAATTAACCACCTAGTCCTCTCACCCCAAAAAAACTAACTACCTAGTCCGCTCTCACCCCCAAACAATTAACCACCTAGTCCTCTCACTCTAAAAAACTAGCTACCTAGTCCTCTCACCCCAAAAAACTAACCACCTAGTCCTCTCACCCCCAAACGATTAACCATCTAGTCTTCTCTCACCCCAAACAATTAACCATCTAGTCTTCCCTCACCCGAAACAATTAACCACCAAGTCCTTCCTCCACCCAAACAATTAACCACCTAGTCCTCTCACCCCCAAACAATTAACCACCTAGTCCTCTCACCCCCAAACAATTAACCACCTAGTCCTCTCACCCCAAAAGAATTAACCACCTAGTCCTCTCACCCTAAACAATTAACCACCAAGTCCTCTCACCCTAAATAATTAACCACCTAGTCCTCTCACCCTAAATAATTAACCACCAAGTCCTCTCACCCTAAACAATTAACCACCCAGTCCTTCATTCACCCAAACAATTAATCACCTAGTCCTTCCTCCACCCAAACAATTAACCACCAAGTCTTTCCCCCACCCAAACAATTAACCACCAAGTCTTTCCCCCACCCAAATTATTATCTCTCATTGTTCTCCCCGAACAATCAGCCTCCAGACCACCCACCCACGCCTTGTAAGAGCAGTCAGCCTGTGCAGTGGCTCTCCTGGAGATCCAGCCTCGAAGACTTAGAACTTTGCACCATGCCTCAAGTACTGGCCCCTAGAAAAGCCTCATTTATGTGGGGGCCAGTAAAGAAATAAAGTGGTTTGTTTGTTGGTTTCAGAGAAAATTCATACACTGTTTTATAACTGAACAAGCATCAAGAATGCAGCATGTATTTTACACATATTGAAAAAAGGACAAATCCTATTCTCTGAATAAAAGCATTTCTGTGGTAATTTCATAGATCAGTCAAAATCATCAGTTAACATAGAAATTATCACTAAACGAAGAGATTGAATTTATATCAATGGACTTGTAACCAGCAACCTTCAGACAGAGATTGTGGCTTACCATACTATTACACATATTGAAAAGAGACAAAATACTATTCTCTGAATAAAAGCATTTCTGTGGTAATTTCATAGATCAGTCAAAATCATCAGTTAACATAGAAATTATCACTAAACGAAGAGATTGAATTTATATCAATGGACTTGTAACCAGCAACCTTCAGACAGAGATTCTGGCTTACCATACTATTACACATATTGAAAAGAGACAAAATACTATTCTCTGAATAAAAGCATTTCTGTGGTAATTTCATAGATCAGTCAAAATCATCAGTTAACATAGAAATTATCACTAAACAAAGAGATTGAATTTATATCAATGGACTTGTAACCAGCACCCTTCAGACAGAGATTCTGGCTTACCATACTATTACACATATTGAAAAGAGACAAAATACTATTCTCTGAATAAAAGCATTTCTGTGGTAATTTCATAGATCAGTCAAAATCATCAGTTAACATAGAAATTATCACTAAACGAAGAGATTGAATTTATATCAATGGACTTGTAACCAGCACCCTTCAGACAGAGATTCTGGCTTACCATACTATTACACATATTGAAAAGAGACAAAATACTATTCTCTGAATAAAAGCATTTCTGTGGTAATTTCATAGATCAGTCAAAATCATCAGTTAACATAGAAATTATCACTAAACAAAGAGATTGAATTTATATCAATGGACTTGTAACCAGCACCCTTCAGACAGAGATTCTGGCTTACCATACTATTACACATATTGAAAAGAGACAAAATCCTATTCTCTGAATAAAAGCATTTCTGTGGTAATTTCATAGATCAGTCAAAATCATCAGTTAATATAGAAAATATCACTAAATGAGACATTGAATTTATATCAATGGAGTTGTAAGCAGCACCCTTCAGACAGAGATTCTGGCTTTCAGTACTGTGTACAGTACAGTAACTGTGTGTGAGCCTCCCAGTACTGCCAGAATTACCAGCCCTACTTGCTGATAAACCTGTTGACGAAGTTGACGAAGCTGTAGATGATGACAATCAGCAGTCGTTCACTCTGTAATACCTAGCAGTAAAGTACAGAATACAAACAAAAAAAAACAGAAAAAAACCCAGAAACAGTTGCTTTGAAAAAAACCAGTCAAACTTGAATACGTTTAGTTTCACTGGTATGCACTATTATTGGAGATGATGGCTATGTATATAATATATAGATGTATATATATCTATATGTAAATGAGCCTTCAAAAGCAGAAATATGGATGATAATGAAACAAGAAAGAACAGATATGAGTGGTACCGTCTAGTTTTTATCCTACACAAGCTGTGATTGGTTATTTGTTCCCCCGGGCGATACGACTTTTATCATACACATGTTATATCCACTGTGCGTTTCTGTCAGATATGCCCAGGTTCCTGACATATCACACCCTGCATAAAAATCCAACCAGACGCATATACAATATCCTGCCAACAATTCTGGTACATGGAACAAAGTTAATAGCAAAGGAGTTGTCTCCCTTGGCAGGTGAATCCCAGAGTGATTTCCCTTGGATCTGCACCAATTTGCAGGACATTCAAATGCAATAGTTTATGATCTACACTGTGAATATTTTTTTTCTAAAATTTACCAACTGTCCCCTCCCCCCCCTTTGCCCATCCCTTGTCCCCTGTTCCCCACCTCTGGCCCTACCCCAACATCACGCCTCCTACACCTAGGACAAGATAAGAGGTAAATCACACAAGGAATCTGATGACTGTTTCGTCATGCCTGTTCCTGTGCCGAGGTCCGAGATGGAACAACGTTCCTTGATCCTGATTGGTCCGTTGAGGACACTAGAGGTAGCTATGGAGACAATGCGGCAACGTCTCCACAACACAGAAGAGGTAACCACGGCAACAGTGTCTGCAATACAGACGAGGTAACGACATCGTGGAGAGCTGCACCAACATGCTCTCTGATTGGCCGACAGCAGCAACAGCTCCTCACAGCGTTGTTGTGACAGCTCCTCACAGGGTTGTGGTGACAGCTCTTCACAGGGTGACAGATGCAACTGGATGTTGGATGTGGTTGTATGCAGTATGTCTCGACAGGGAATGACTCACTGTCCTTGCTCGGTAGTCTCAACGAGTAAAACTACAAATCAGCAATCCCGCTTTCATGCACCAACACTGTAGATTCTTATGACCCAGATTCCATTCGGGAGCATATCCTTCACCCAAACACTTTATACCAGCTCACTGTATCCCCCACAATGTGCAATTACTCCACTGGAATCATTCTGGAATCCATCAGAACCATCGCAGAATTCCAACGGAATCCCAACAGAAGCCAAACAATTCTGATTCAGAATCCAACCTGAAAGCTCACAAGATCCAAACAGGCATACATCTCCATCCTAATTTAAATCTCACGTATTCCATCGGAATTGCGTCCAGCCAGTTAGGGTCTGTTATGTTGCCTGTCCTGCTTATGCACGAGTCAAACCGCATGAGTCATTTCGCGTGAGTCGGTGTGGGAGTCTCGCTCGAGGTAGATTCCCGCCAATGGTCGGGATGTAGTGTTCATGCCCAAGACACAGTTACAATTCCTGATTATAAAGAAAACTTGCAGTGAGGTAAGAACTATACACATCGGTCTCTCAATGTTGTTGCAGCAGCTTCTCGACTAGTCTCTCCTAATATCATCAGTAGTTTCAAACATCTGTAATAATTGACATGAGACCTTTGAAAATATATTCGGGCTAAATTCCTTCTGTGGTACCTGAATCTGCTGTTGATATGGTAGAACTCGGACAGATGACACATTCCAAAGTCTCAACAAGAGTTACTTCCCTTGTCTAAAAGACTTACAGGTTTAAAAGAGGAATCTCGTATTTGAGAAGATGGCTTGATACCAAGAAGTGTTAACACCTTTGATACGAAGTTATCTATTCATGAAGGAGTTGTTTCCCTTGGATATTTGTGTTAAACAACATTGAGGCCCCGACATTGAGACGTCGACGTCATCACTTGTCACTATGGCAATAGTTAATTAGACGATGCCTCGGAGTGGTCAGAGTGAATAACTGACGACAATTAACCGGCTGCCGGATAGGGGATGGCAACATTGGCCATTCAGTCATGTCATCTCTGTACAGTGAGGTAGCAAGGAGCTGGGGTCAAGGTCACAGCTTAACATGCCGTGTCGTGGGTCAGCTGTGTCGTGATGTCATCAGTCGTCGCTGTGTCGTCCGACATCTCTTTTGTGCCATCTGTTGATGTCGAGCGGCTGTCGCTGCCGGTGGAGTAGCTTCCGTCTCGCGGTGCCAACAAGGCCAGAAGCTCTTCAGCCTAGGGGAACAGAAATGAGGGTACTTTTAAAACAGCATTACAGTAAAATCTCAGCATGTCAGTTTAATGCAGAAGATTTGTGTGTTTTATACTATGAGCAACATCCAATGCCATCACAAACATGTACATACCATGACATCAGGCACACGCACATGTACACACCATGCCATCAGGCACAACATTACACACCATACCATCAGGCACACACACATGTACACACCATGCCATCAGGCACACACACATGTACACACCATGCCATCAGGCACACACACATGTACACACCATGCCATCAGGCACACATGTACACACCATGACATCAGGCACACACACATGTACACACCATGCCATCAGACACACACACATGTACACACCATGCCATCAGGCACACATGTACACACCATGCCATCAGGCACACACACATGTACACACCATGCCATCAGGCACATACACATGTACACACCATGCCATCAGGCACACATGTACACACCATGCCATGAGGCACACATGTACACACCATGCCATCAGGCACACACACATGTACACACCATGCCATCAGGCACACACACATGTACACACCATGCCATCAGACACACACGCATGTACACACCATGCCATCAGGCACACATGTACACACCATGCCATCGGGCACACACGCATGTACACACCATGCCATCAGGCACACACAACCCCACTTACACGGTAGCTAGGAAACATACCTGAGTATTTCACCCATCGCTGTATACACGACCCCCTAACACGGTTGCTAGGAAACATACCTGAGTATTACACCCGTCACTGTATACACGACCCCCTAACACGGTTGCAAGGAAACATACCTGAGTATTACACCCGTCACTGTATACACAACCCCCTAACACGGTTGCAAGGAAACATACCTGAGTATTACACCCGTCACTGTATACACGACCCCCTAACACGGTTGCTAGGAACCATACCTGAGTATTACACCCGTCACTGTATACACGACCCCCTAACACGGTTGCAAGGAAACATACCTGAGTATTACACCCGTCACTGTATACACAACCCCCTAACACGGTTGCAATGAAACATACCTGAGTATTACACCCGTCACTGTTTACACGACCCCCTAACACGGTTGCTAGGAATCATACCTGAGTATTACACCCGTCACTGTATACACGACCCCCTAACACGGTTGCTAGGAAACATACCTGAGTATTACACCCGTCACTGTATACACGACCCCCAACAATGTTTGCTATGTGTGGATCTGTGTTACTTGTATCTTCTGTTTCCTTGGCAACAGGTGCTGGTTCTTGCACTGTTCTGGGCGGAACTTTTTCTCTCTGAAAATAAGGAAACCGTTCCAGTACAGGACATATTCATACACCAAAAGTAACTGTTTCATTGAAATTGAGTATGGAGGCAATTTGACATAATGGTATAATTTGAGTTGATGTTATTGTAGTGCTTGAGTTACTTGTGAAGATACGTTTGTCATGATAACGTTTGTGATGATGTTTCTTGTCATGTTTGTGATGATGTGTGTGATGATGTTTGTGATGATGATGTTTGTGATGATGTTTATGATTACGTTTGTGATGTTTGTGATGATGATGTTTGTAATTATGTCACTTGTGATGACGTTTACGATTATGTTTGTGATGATGTCATTTCTTTATGTGTTTGTTTGTTTGTTTGTTTGTTGCAGCACTCAGCAATATTCCACCTACATGACGTCAGTCTGTAAATAATCGCGGCTGGACCAGACAATCTGATGATGAAGGTGATGATGTTGGAGGGGACTTACCTTGCAGGCACAAGTTGTGGGTGTGGTTGGGGATCCAGCCTCGACAGCTATGGTCTGTGCAGCCTGACTCTCTGCAGCCAAGGCATGGTGTCTGTAGAACTGCCTGGGGAAACACACGCCACGCCTCATTAGTTCACTGTCAGGGGTGGGATGAGGCAAAGGGTACATTATTGGTTCACGAGGACCAAATCAATGATATCTTATTTATGAAGACTAAAAATACTGTCACAAATTCATCAGAGGTCATTTTCCATTCTATGAGTGAGTGAGTGAGTATGGTTTTATGCCGCTTTTAGCAATATTTCAGCAATATCACGGCGGGCGACACCAGAAATGGGCTTCACACATTGTACCCATTTCGGGAATCGAACCCAGGCCTTCAGCGTGACGAGCAAACACTTGAACCACAAGGCTACCCGACCGCCCCTCCGTTCTATGAAACTTCCATGAAGCAAAACATCCACTTACTCAACAACCTGACTTATTTTAACAGCAATCATGGTTATTGATGTATATTCTATTGCAGAAATGTACCTTTAACTACTTTGTATGTAAATACCATAGGCCTTTGCCCTTCTCAGTGTCATGAAATAAAGACTGATGAATAGGCCATAGTGAGTGAGTGAATGAAGTTTGGTGCTGCTTATGACCACAGTCGACAATATTCCAGGTATATCATGATAGCCTGCAAATAATCAAGTGTGGACTGGACAAACCAAGGATTGATATAATGAGCAGCGACCAATAATTGGGATCAATTCCAAATATGTCAGTCACAGACACAATCAGGATCAATCAGGATCAGTCACAGACTCATTCAGGGTCAGTCACAGACTCAATCAGGATCAATCAGGATCAGTCATAGACTCAATCAGGGTCAGTCACAGACTCAATCAGGATCAATGAGGATCAGTCACAGACTCAATCAGGATCAGTCACAGAATCAATGAGGATCAGTTTCAGATTCAATCAGGATCAGTCACAGACTCAATCAGGATCAGTCTCAGACTCAATCAGGATCAGTCACAGACTCAATCAGGATCAGTCTCAGATTCAATCATTATCAGTCACAGCCTCAATCAGGATCAGTCAGGGTCAGTCACAGACTCAATCAGGATCAGTCTCAGATTCAATCATTATCTCAGGATCAGTCATAGACTCAATCAGGATGTCAGGATCAGTCACAGACTCAATCAGGATCAGTCTCAGACTTAATGAGGATCAGTCACAGACTCAATCAGGATCAGTCACAGACTCAATCAGGATCAGTCACAGACTCAATCATTATCAGTCTCAGATTCAATCATTATCAGTTACAGACTCAATCAGGATCAGTCTCAGACTCAATCAGGATCAGTCACAGACTCAATCAGGATCAGTCACAGACTCAATCAGGATCAGTCACAGACTCAACCAAGACAGTCACAGACTCAATCAGGAGCAGTCTCAGACTCAATCAGGATCAATCACAGACTTATGAGGATCAGTCACAGACTCAATCAGGATCATTCAGGATCACTCAGGATCAGTCACAGACTCAAACAGGATCAGTCACAGACTTAATGAGGATCAGTCACAGGCTCAATCAGGATCAGTCACAAACTCAATCAGGATCAGTCACAGACTCAATCAGGATCAGTCTCAGACTCAATCAGGATCACTGAGGATCAGTCACAGACTCAATCAGGATCAGTCACTTCACAAGTTCGTAATCAGGCATTAACAATTCATCAGCTATGGGCTGAAAGGACGTTATCAATGAGTGAGTGGGTAAGTACAGTTTTATGCCACTTTTAGCAATATTCCAGCAATATCACGGCGGGGGACACCAGAAATGGGCTTTACACATTGTACCCATGTGGGGAATCAAACTTGGTTCTTCAACATGACAAGCAAACACTTAAACCAGTAGACTACTCCACGTTATCAAAGCTTCCCATCAACTCAATATGTGCCTGAACTACGGAAGTCAGCTTTCTTCACTGATATTACAGCATCTAAACTACCACTTTAAATACTGGCTTTTGAAAACTGTCCTGCTATTCCCCGACTGAGAGGTCAGTGTCACCTCTGTTTGCAGAAGACAAGGATGATGGTGACGATGATGCTGGTGAGGCCAATAGCTGCCCCTCCCAGAATTCCAAGCTGCTGGTCCGATAGGGCTGGACGCTCTGCAATGTCAACATCAGGACATGTTTTATTTGGCTTATTGGTAGTTGAATGGATACAAAATGATCACACACAAAAAATACTTAAGCATATTCTCCAAATGCTTGCTATGCCACGCACCCATAGATTAGTAATCTCTGACGCTTGACAGTCGGAAGGTTTGGATTTCCTATCCTGAGTGAGTGAGTTTAACGCCGCTTTTAACAGTATTCCAGTTATATCACGGCGTGTCAGCTTAATGTGGGAGGAAAGCCCCAAGTGATGCAGGTCTCAGATGTTTACCACTTCGGTGAAACCCACGAGCACGGGTATGGTGCTGACAAACCTAGAAACATAATCGGGGCGAACCGGGATTCGAACCCACAATCATAGGTTTCTGGCGTGCCCAAGGGACGCAACTCTGCATAGAAAATCGCGGCGCCTTAGATGACTGGGCCACCCGTGCCCCCTCCTATCCTGAGAACTTTTTAGGTTTAACAATAATTTGTTCCTGAAACTACTGGAAAATATAGATTTGACAACTTTTTCACAATTTTCTCACTTGACCTGCTGAAGGATTTTGAAAAATGTTTTGTGGATAGAAATTAAATTCTTCCGCTCCAGTTGTGCTACCTGCTGTAGAAAAGTTCTCCATGTGGACAATGAGCTTGGTGGATGGAATCCCCTTTCCTGCTCCATTACATGCTTGTACACGGAAGTAGTACGTCCTGGCAGTCAGGTTCTGCACCACCGCAGCTGTGTCCTGCCCTGGAACATGGATACACAACTCTTACATCCCTGGAACATGGATACACAACTCTTACATCCCTGGAACATGGATACACAAATCTTACACCTAGGAACATGGATACACAAATCTTACACCCTGGAACATGGATACACAACTCTTATAACCCCAGGACATGGATACACAAATCTTACACCCCTGGAACATGGATACACAAATCTTACACCCTGGAACATGGATACACAACTCTTACATCCCCGGAACATGGATACACAAATCTTACACCCCTGGAACATGGATACACAAATCTTACACCCTGGAACATGGATACATAAATATGACATCCCTGGAACATGGATACACAAATATAACAGCCCTGGAACATGGATACACAAATATGACATCCTGGTAAACAAGCTCCTTCCCAGCACGTGACACCTTCATTACACACTCAGTTACACCGCTGCTGAAACAATCTTGAAATTTGCCCTCTACACCAAATGTAGTAACGTTTATACTTTTGTTTACATCTTTGGGAATGTGATCATTGAGAATTTTGAAAAGGTTTACTACTGACCAGATTGCCCAGATGAATTTACCTTTTTATTTGTTTAATCAGATTGGTTTGAGCTTGCAGACTAACGGAAAATCACCCTTACATTCTTACTATACCATTTACAAGATAGTTGAAATGAAATAAATTCAAATTGACAAAGAAAATAATTTAGCGGATTCAGTGTCACGGCAGTCATCACTTGTTTGTAAACATAACAGTCAGTCAGTTGCAAGTTCAACTCCAAGCATGGTTGGGCCACCTATCACAGTGGGGAGCTTTGACTGGTGGCAGCAATAGTATCGAGAGCTCTGGGAAAGGGCTTTCGCTGTGAGGAGCTTGTTGGGAGCTTTGACTGGTGGCAGCAATAGTATCGAGAGCTCTGGGAAAGGGCTTTCGCTGTGAGGAGCTTGTTAGGACACCTTCAAACGGTTGTATTACCCTATACGTATGTTTGAATTTGTATCAGGTCTTGTAACATGTGACCTACCAGCCTGGTAGAGTTCAGTCCATGGTGGGTGCTGAATCACCTCGACATTGTAGGAGATGACGTGGCCTTTGATGTTGCCGTTGGGGTGATGAGGTGGTTTCCACTGTAGCTGTACCTCCCCAGGGGAGATAACTACTGCCTCAACGTTCTCCGGGGGAGAGGGCACTGAAACAGCAGTGAGTGAGTGAGTAAGTGGGTGGATGGGTGGGTTGGTCCTTGAGTGAGTGAGTGAGTGAGTGAGTGGGTGGGTTGGTCCTTGAGTGAGTGAGTGAGTGAGTGAGTGAGTGAGTGAGTGAGTGAGTGAGTGAGTGAGTGAGTGAGGTTCAACATCATGACATGACACAGTAGTAAGAACTTTACAATGACTGGTCCACAGACATTTCAAATATTGATCAGTAAATTAGGTTACAAGAATCGGTGTTTCTGATGTACTCTAAGATTGTACATCTTAGGCGGGAAATACCCAACTTAACCCACATGTTCGTAAAATGGACTTGTCCGACATTTCCGAGGTCGGATTCTATTAAGGGAGTCATCATTATTTATTATTGAGTGAGTGAGTGAGTGAGTCGTATGGTTTTATGCCGCTTTTAGCAATATTCCAGCAATATCACAGCAGGGGACACCAGAAATGGGCTTCACAAATTGTACCCATGTGGGGAATCGAACCCGGGTCTTCGCCGTGACAAGCCAACGCTTTAACCACGAGGCTACCCGACAGCCCCAGCATTATGTACCTTCCTAATAAGTAACAAAGGCCTGGAGGCCTGACGTTTATATGAATAAAATGTCCACATTACAGAGATCTAGGGGAGAATGGTAACAGCACCATAGCAACACTTACCATCCTCGAGTGTGCGCACGACGACGGGTTCACTAAACAGGGATCTGCGGTCGTCGAAGACGGCGCACACGGAGATGTTGTAGAAAGTGAAGGGTTCCAGGTTGGACAGCGATGCCTCCTGGCTATGTCTGTGACAATGGAGAGTGAGTGAGTGAGTGTGTTGGGTTTAACACTGCTTTGATCAGTAAAAGGTGAAACCTAAGTAAACGGGTATTGTAAACCTAGAAACTTAATCTGCACAGCAAATTGTGCTGCTTCAGAAAAGCCGCCTGTGACTCTACCATTGTAAGGTTTAATGTCAACAATGAAATCCTATACCGTATTCAATGTTATAAGCGCTCCGCTCTAATAAGCGCCCACGGCGATATTTCCTAATATATGTATATTGGCTAGTGAACAATCTCAATTAGCACCCCTTCCGAATGATCAATGTACATAAGACTTATTTATTCATGTATAACACGCACTGGCGTGTTATATGCACCCTTAATTATGGGCAATTAAATCCTGGAAAAATATCCGTCGTATATAAACATTTCAGGCTGTCAGCATAAACCACAAAATTTACGATCTTTTTTTTCACCAAAATAATATAATAATAAAAGCCCCCTATTTCTAATTTTGAGAGCGCCCTGGGCGCTTATTACGTCAAATATGGTATCTCTTTAACTTACACGGATAAAAACATTCCTGTCAACCATCTTAATTTGATGTCATATTTACGCAATAAAATTATTCAATGGCGATTTAAATGTGTATAATTTAAGAAGTCAAGTATTTTCATTGCGGCTTAGATCAATTGTGTCCTTTCAAAGAAGACCTATCAACATACCGGTAGCTATGAATGATGAAAACCAATAAAGATTTATGAAGAGTTTCCACAGTTCATATTTAGTAGTGAGTGAGTGAGTATGGTTTTTACACCGCTTTTAGCAATATTCCAGCAATATCACGGCGGGGGACACCAGAAATGGGCTTCACACATTGTGCCCATGTCGGGAATCGAACCCGGGTCTACGGCGTGACGAACGAACGCTTTAACCACTAGGCTACCCGACCGCCCCTCATATTTAGTAATGAACCAAGACAACAATGGTAGAGTGAGTGAGTGAGTATGGTTTTACGCCACTTTGAGCAATATTCCAGCAATATCACGGCGGGGGACACCAGAAATGGGCTTCACACATTGTACCCATGTCAGGAATCGAACCGGGTCTTTGGCGTGACGAGCGAACGCTTTAACCACTAGGCTACCCGACCGCCCCCAACAATGGTAGAGGTGGCTGTGAGGTGAAATGGGGTTTATAACTCCGAACCTTCCGCTCTCCTAACGGACACTCTACCACAAGACCACGGAGGTGGTTTAGAGGTGGTTGTCACAACTCACGTCATAAAGGTCTTCTCATCCTTGGAGCATCGATGTTCCAAGTTGATGGGCTTGTAGCGGACGATGTAGTGAGTGACATCGTTGCTGTTGTCCCCGAGGTAGTTCCACGTGATGGAGATGACGTTGGGGAGGAGGGCGTTGCCAGTCAGCTGACTCGGAACATCGTGGTTGGTTCTATTGGACAACGTATGGAAGATGCTGGTGACAAAGGCAATCTTCTGGTGCTCTTGTTCCCCCAGAACGAAGAACTGGTACGTCGTGTCTGGCTCTGAAAAATACACCAGCAGCATGGATTGGTTGATTTGTTGTTTAATGCCACACTCAGCAGTATTACAGCTATATGACGGCGGTCTGTAAATAATAGAGTCTGGACCAGACAATCCAGTGATTAATGTCATGAGCATCAATCCACGCAATTGGGATCGATGACATGCATCAACCAAGTCAGCGAGCCTGACCGCCCGATCTCGTTAGTCGCCTCTTATGACAAGCATAGTCACCTTTTACGGCAAGCATGGGTTGCTGAAGACCTATTCTACCCCGGATCTTCACGGCTCGGGACTGGTGACTCGGGTACTCGGTACTCTGAGTGAGTGAGTTTGGTTTTTGAATTGCCTTTAGGAATATTCCAGTATTACCACAGCGGGGGACACCGGAAAATGGGCTTCATACATTGTACCCATGTGGGGAATCGAACTCGGGTCTTCGGCGTAATAAGCCAATGTTTTAACCACCAGGCTACCCCACTGCCCCTCTGAACAGTAAGTGAGCAAATTTTATGCGTTGTCAAACCAGGGAGGGCTTACGTATCACCCAGGTACATATTAAGGCTGGGAAGAGTTCAAATATAATACGCGAGTGAATCGTAACAGCTCTACTACTCGGGTAGTCACTGTTGGTGTCAAGAGTTGGGTACAAAGTTCTGATTGCGAATTGTTTTACCATAGCCCTGGCAAAAACATGTGAACATCAGCGACTTGTATTGTAACCATGGAGATGCACTGTTACCATGGAGTTGTTTTGTAACTGTGGAGTTGCACTGTTGTTGACATTAAACAATATATCACATGACTAACCACAGATCCGGATAGTCCTGTGGGTACCCTGGTCCTACTCAGGACCCACCCGACCTGAGTACCCGAGTTACAGTACATATAGTATTGGGGTACAAATAAACCAGAGTGAGTGAGTGAGTATGGTTTTACGCCGCTTTTAGCAATATTCCAGCAATATCACGGCGGGGGACACCAGAAATGGGCTTCACACATTGTACCCATGTTGGGAATCGAACCCGCGTCTTTGGCGTGACGAGCGAATGCTTTAATCACGAGGCTTCCCGACCGCCCCTTCATATCAACCAGAAGTGACAGGTTACATGATACACAAGGTGAAGAGGTCTTCGACTACACTCAGCCGCCCATCACACATCTTCCCGAGGCAAGTGAGTTAACTGACTGAAAAAGTCCAGTTTCCACCCTTGCCGAACAAGGCTTGAATTTCTGGGCTCGATTGTAGTGCCACCAGTGGTTATTACGAGTTATGTCCCTTCTATGTCTCTCCGATTCCATCTCTCATATCACTTGCATTTGCTTCAAATATAATTGCGTCGCCCAGTAACGATGATCTGATCGATAATCAAGATCTATATCATAATATAACTGGTCTTACTTTGCTAATTGCATCAAATCACGTGAGCACCTTGATCACAAACATGACAAGATTTGGAAAATATCTGTTGATGCTTTGCAAATCCTATCATCGACCAAAATCGGCATGTCAGTTCACAAACCGGTTGTCAATTTCGTTACGCGATTTTGACTGGACTATGCATGGACTCGTTAGTCCAGCTAAAATATAACCCCATAATTACAGCCTAGTTTGGCAAGGGTGGAAACTGGACTTTTATGGTCAGTTAACTCCCTTGCGTCAGGAAGATGCCCATCACAGAGGTTGGTTGGTTGGTTGTTGTTTAACGCCGCACTCAGCATTATTTCAGCTATATGACGACGGTCTGTAAAATAATCCAGTCTGGACCAGACAATCCAGTGATTGACATCATGAGCATCGATCCACGCAATTGGGATCAATGACATGCATCAACTAAGTCAGGGAGCCTGACCACCCGATCCCGTCAGTCGCCTTTTACGACAAGCGTAGTCACCATTTACGGCAAACATGGATTGCTGAAGACCTATTCTACCCTGGAATCTACATGGGTCCCCATCACAGAGGAGGGACGAGATTCCAACTGACCTAGGGACATGAATGTGATTTCTCTGCGGTAGATGTCCAGGCTGTACATCTGCATGCCGTCACTCTGCTTCAGGTTGCGCAGGAAGATGACCTGCTTAGACAGGCGTAGTTTCCGTGGATACAGCCAGCTCACTTTGGTGGTCGTCATGTTGACCTCATCCACGGTCACATTCAGGTACACATGGCCTGCAGGTCAAGGTCAAGGTCATCAGTTAAAACAGTTTGTTATTGTTGTTGGTTTGTTGTTTAACGCCGCACTCAGCAATATTCCAGCTATATGACAGCGGTCTGTAAATATAATCAAGTCTGCACCAGACAATCCAGTGATTAATACCATGATCATCGATCCGCACAATTGGGATATGATGACATGCACCAACCAAGTCAGCGAGCCTGACCACCCGATCCTGTTAGTCGCCTCTTACGACAAGCATAGTCACCTTTTACAGCAGGCATGGGTTGATGAAGACCTATTCTACCCCGAATCTTCATGGGTACTAGTTTGTACCTATAGTGGTCCCCTAGTTATCCCAGGTCCCAGACAGGCATTTCTGCATCTTTTGTAAATTTGAATGAGGCACTTCAAATAACACTACCTACCTGCTAGGTCAAGGTAAATGTCGAATCTAGGAGATTGTCAACAGCTTGTAGACCTCAAACAGTTGCACACATGTTAAACTGTCGTCTTATCGGAGACAGTTGTCTTTATATTGGACAGATGTCCCTATCTCAGACAGATGTCCCTATCTCCGACAGATGTCCCTATCACCGACAGATGTCCCTATCTCAGACAGATGTCCTTATCTCAGACAAATGTCCCTATCTCAGACAGATGTCCCTATCTCAGACAGATGTCCCTATCTCAGACAGAGGTCCCTATCTCAGACGGATGTCCCTATCTCAGACAAATGTCCCTATCTCAGACAGATGTCCCTATCTCAGACGGATGTCCCTATCTCAGACAGATGTCCCTATCTCAGACAGATGTCCCTATCTCAGGCGGATGTCCCTATCTCAGACAGATGTCCCTATCTCAGACAAATGTCCTTTTCTCAAACAGTTGTCCCTATCTCAGACAGATGTCCCTATCTCAGACGGATGTCCCTATCTCAGACAGATGTCCCTATCTCAGACAGTTGTCCCTTTCTCAGACAGATGTCCTTTTCTCTGACAGATGTCCCTATCTCAAACAGTTGTCCCTATCTCAGACTGATGTCCCTATCTCAGACGGATGTCCCTATCTCAGACTGATGTCCCTATCTCAAACAGTTGTCCCTATCTCAGACTGATGTCCCTATCTCAGACGGATGTCCCTATCTCAGACTGATGTCCCTATCTCAAACAGTTGTCCCTATCTCAGACAGATGTCTTTATCTCAAACAGTTGTCCCTATCTCAGACCGATGTCCCTATCTCAGACAGATGTCCTTATCTCAGACATGTCTTTATCTCAGACAGATGTCCCTATCTCAGACTGATGTCCCTATCTCAAACAGTTGTCCTTTTCTCTGACAGATGTCCCTATCTCAAACAGTTGTCCCTTTCTCAGTTGGATGTCCCTATCTCAGACAGATGTCCTTATCTCAGACATGTCTTAATCTCAGACAGATGTCCCTATCTCAGACAGATGTCCTTATCTCAGACAGATGTCCTTATCTCAGACCGATGTCCCTATCTCAGACAGATGTCCTTATCTCAGACATGTCTTTATCTCAGACAGATGTCCCTATCTCAGACAGATGTCCCTATCTCAGACCGATGTCCCTATCTCAGACAGATGTCCTTATCTCAGACATGTCTTAATCTCAGACTGATGTCCCTATCTCAGACAGATGTCCCTATCTCAGACTGATGTCCCTATCTCAGACCGATGTCCCTATCTCAGACAGATGTCCTTAGCTCAGACATGTCTTTATCTCAGACAGATGTCCCTATCTCAGACCGATGTCCCTATCTCAGACAGATGTCCTTATCTCAGACATGTCTTTATCTCAGACAGATGTCTTTATCTCAGACAGATGTCCCTATCTCAGACCGATGTCCCTATCTCAGACAGATGTCCTTATCTCAGACATGTCTTTATCTCAGACAGATGTCCCTATCTCAGACAGATGTCCCTATCTCAGACAGATGTCCCTATCTCAGACAGATGTCCTTAGCTCAGACATGTCTTTATCTCAGACAGATGTCCTTATCTCAGACCGATGTCCCTATCTCAGACAGATGTCCTTATCTCAGACATGTCTTTATCTCAGACAGATGTCCCTATCTCAGACAGATGTCCCTATCTCAGACAGATGTCCTTAGCTCAGACATGTCTTTATCTCAGACAGATGTCCCTATCTCAGACAGATGTCCCTATCTCAGACAGATGTCCCTATCTCAGACCGATGTCCCTATCTCAGACAGATGTCCTTAGCTCAGACATGTCTTTATCTCAGACAGATGTCCCTATCTCAGACAGATGTCCCTATCTCAGACAGATGTCCCTATCTCAGGCGGATGTCCCTATCTCAGACAGATGTCCCTATCTCAGACAAATGTCCTTTTCTCAAACAGTTGTCCCTATCTCAGACAGATGTCCCTATCTCAGACGGATGTCCCTATCTCAGACTGATGTCCCTATCTCAGACTGATGTCCCTATCTCAGACTGATGTCCCTATCTCAGACCGATGTCCCTATCTCAGACCGATGTCCCTATCTCAGACTGATGTCCTTATCTCAGACCGATGTCCCTATCTCAGACAGATGTCCTTATCTCAGACCGATGTCCCTATCTCAGACAGATGTCCTTATCTCAGACATGTCTTTATCTCAGACAGATGTCCCTATCTCAGACAGATGTCCCTATCTCAGACAGATGTCCCTATCTCAGACAGATGTCCACACTGGACAGTGACAGCTACCTTCACGGTTCTCGGAGGCCGATTCCTTCATTGTCCTGATGGTGGTCCACGGCCACTCACTGTCGGGAAAGTTGCGATATCCCTCGGTCGTAGAAGCCGCAAGTCGAACACGATAGTCCGAGTCAGGAAGCAGGTCTGAAAGATAATGAGGGCATTTGTATTCCAAACTTAGTCTGACACAAGTGAGTGAGTGAGTTGGGTTTAACGCCACTTTTAACAGTATTCCAGCCATAGGAAAGACCGCAGGAGAAAGACCGAAGAGATACAGGTCTGAGAGGTTTACCATTTTGGCGAAAATCATGAGCACAGATATCATAGAAACATAATTGGCACACTGGAATTCGAACCCACGATCATAGGTTTCTGGCATGCCCAAGGTACGCAACTCTTGGCTAGCTTTTTCCCTGGGAGCCATTTGGCTCCTAAGTGAAAAGCCTTTGGAGCCAACTGGTTTTATCAGTAGCCAGATTTTTATATGATATAATGTTTTTCTTTTTTTAATGTTTTCTATAAACCTGTAAAAACATAACCAAGAAATTAATATTATTAATGCTAATCAGATCTTTACTGAGTGACAGTTTGAAATTTGTGAAAGGCAACTACTCTTTGCCAATTGTGCATGCAGTGTTTATTTTGATTTTAAGATCAAATTTTGTTTTTCTGAAATGATTTTTCATACGAGTGTTCAAAGCACCATCGATCCCGATTGCGCGGATCGATGCTCATAATATCAATCACTGGATAGTCTGGTCCAGACTGGATTAGTTATAGACCACCGTCATACAGCTGGAATATTGATAAGTACAATTGGGATACGCTGACATGCATCAACCAAGTCAGCGACCCTGACCACCCGATCCCGTTAGTCGCCTCTTACGACAAGCATAGTCGCCTTTTATGGCAAGCATGGGTTGCTGAAGACCTATTCTACCCCGGATCGTCACAGGTGGTTACATTATCCTCATTTAGGCAGGGTTCAACTCCATCCGTCATTTGTTGTGTGAGACTGTACAAGGTGGGGTTGGACACAGCAAGGATCTAACTCACCAGTAATGAGGTACTTGTAGGTGTCCCCTTTGACTTCTACATTGCTGATGGTGTCGGTGTCACACAGGCCGTAGTAGATGCGGTACTTGACTATGGTGCCACCTCGCAGTTCCTTCGGCATGGGCTGCCACTTGACCAGCACTGTAGAGGAGCTTGTACTGTCCAGTGTTGGCGTGGGGAACCCTCTGGGGACTGGGGGGAGAGACATACATGTTACCCATAGCCGCTGTTGGTGGGTGAGTGAGTGAATGCTGTGAATGCTGTGAATGCCACAGACGGGACTAATCTAGCTGTGTCAGAGTTGTAGAGCTGAGTGTCGCCTGGTATCGTGAGATACCATTTGTGATGACACTACTGGTGGGTGGATTAAGGTGAGTGAGTGAGTGAGTTTGGTTTAACGCCGCTTTTAACAGTATTCCAGTTATATAGCGGCGTGTCAGCTTAATGTGGGAGGAAAGCCAGAAGTGATGCAGGTCTCGGATGTTTACATTAAACATGCATTTTTTATGTTGGAGGCCATATTTTAATAGATCTAACGATGTGTGTGGGGGTTGTTTTTTGTGTCTGTGTGTCTGTGTCTGTGTGACTTTAACGTTTAACGGCATTTTGAACAGTATTCCAGTTATATAGCCGCGTGTCAGCTTAATGTGGGAGGAAAGCCCGAAGTGATGCAGGTCTCAGATGTTTACCACTTCGGTGAAACCCACGAGCACGGGTATGGTGCTGACAAACCTAGAAACATAATCGGGGCGAACCGGGATTCGAACCCACAATCATAGGTTTCTGGCGTGCTCAAGGGACGCAAGTCTGCACAGCGAATCACGGCGCCTTAGACGACTAGGCCTCCTCGCCACCATACAAGGAGTGTGAGCATAAAATGTGTGAGAGTGAAACATATGTTAAAATGCGGCACATCCCATCATTTAGATGTCAACAATACATATTAAACATATTCACGGTCCAAAGGCCCTCTTCTGGTGTCCCCCGCCGTGATATTGCTGGAATATTGCTTAAAGCGGCGTAAAACCATACTCATTCATAGGTTTCCGTGGTGCACAAGGGACGCAACTCTGCACACCCGTGCCCCCAGGTGGATTAAGAGTGTCTACAGTAGGAGGAAGGGGTTGAGGCACCACAGAGTGGGTTAAGAGTGTCGAAAGAAGGCCGGGAGGGGGTTGGTGGGCATACTTACTGGAGTCCATGGTGTTGAAGTACAGCACCACAGAGTGGATTAAGAGTGTCTGGAGAAGGCGGGGAGGGGGTGGGTGGGCAGACTTACTAGAGTCCATTGTGGTGAAGTGTACCACCTCTGAGCTGGGGCTGGCTCCGGCGTAGTTGTAAGCCTTCACATACACCGTGTAGTTGGTTCCTGGATGTAGGTTGTGTAACGTCATTTTGGCTTCGTGGGATATAAACAACTTCTCCTCGCCGGTCACTACAACAGAAAACGCGTCAGATACATCATAATGCAGTCTGTGAAATGGCCATCTTTGCGTGAGTTAGTGAGTGGGTTATCACTGCTTTGAACAGTATTTCAATCAATAGAATTTCACATCATGTCAGCTTCAGGTGGAGGGAAAGCCCAAAGTAATGCAGATCTTAAACAAGGATAATAGGATTCAAATACCCAAACATAGGCTCCTGGCATGACAAAGGGCACAACTCTCTGATCTTAAACATGCACCTCCTTGGTGAAACCCATAAGCACTGGTATGGTGCATCTTCCTGATGCAACTGACTACAAAAGTCCAGTTTCCACCCTTGCCGAACTAGGCTGGTATTATGGAGTTACATTTTGGCTGGACTAACAAGTCTATGCATAGTCCAATCAAAATTGCGCCATGAAATCTAAATCCGGTTCGTAAACTGTCATGCAGATTTCAGTCGATTGCGGGATTTGCAAAATATGTGCACCGCCAACACATTGTCAACAGATATTTTTTAAAAATCTTTTCATGTTTTTAATCAAGGTGCTCACGTGATTTATGATGTTAGACCCGTTTTATCACAATATAGATCTTGATTATCGATCAGATCGTCTTGACTGGGCACCGCCATTTTGTTTAAAGCAAATGCAAGGGATACAAGAGGTGGAATCTGATTGGTCCATAGGAGAGGCACAGAAGGGACATAACTGGTAATAGCCACTGGTGGCGCTACGATCGAGCCCAGGAATTCCAGCCTCGTTCGGCAAGGGTGGAAACTGGACTTTTAAAGTCAGTTAACTCCCTTGCCTCGGGAAGATGGGCATGGTGCTATAAACCTAGATATGTAACCAGAGGATAACAGGACTCAAATTCCCAAACATAGGCTCCTGGCACGACAAAGGGACGCAACTCTCACAAGCTGCCAAGAACATGTCAGACTGGCTATTTATACAAATTAGGCAAATGTGTGCTGTATCTTCGTCAGTTCACTCCAACTTGTATCATAGTATTAAATATTTATTTATCTATTTTATTTATGCATTTATCACCTATTTATGACATATATTTACATATTTATTACAAAGTTATATGCTGAACAAAACATTAGGCATCATGAATATTTTGGGGGATCTGTTTTTGTACTGAAGGTCACATGAGGTGAAATGGGGTTTAACATTGCATTCAAGATAATTGCACTTATAAGCAACGTGCATGTATCTGTGTGTGTGGCTGCTTGTACTTGTCCAAACTAGTGGCGATTTTATAGTACTAGCCTACTTAGATACCTGCCGCAGATTAACATGAATACCCCACTCAGACACAGTATACTGACTCCGAGCTGACCAGTCCTTGTTTTGGCCCTTTAATGCTGAGCGCCAGGCAGTGTAACAACAAGTACCATCTTTTAATGTTTTTCGGTATGAGGCGACTGGAGATTGAACCAAACCTTCCGCTCTCCGGGCGGACGCTCTGCCACTGGACCACGGAGACGGTCTCTTTTGTACAGGAGACTGAGAACACAATGTCATAAAAATATTCATGGTCCCCAAAATATATATTGTTCAGTATATATTCAATTTATCAGGGCCCCGTTCCACAAAGTGATCTTAGCGCTAAGTCGATCGTAACTCCCATTCTTTAACACTGACTTACGACAATCGTAGCGCTAAGATCGCTTTGTGGAACGGGGCCCTGTATTGCCTTGACAATAAGGGAGGTAACTCACGTTTGTCCTCTCGGTAGTGCACAGTGTAAGAGAAGACAGGTTTCGAGGCGTTCTTCTTCTTCTGGATGGTCCAAGAGACTTCCGCCTCTGCCTTAGAGAGCACCGTGACAAGCACATCTGCCGGGCTATTGGGAGCATCATCTGGCACGGAAAAGATTCATAACATCCCAATACAAAACACTAAAAACATCTGCAACCTGAAAACATGTAATATTTATCACAGTCATTTGTGGCATGCTCGAAAAACACAAACCAAACATTTGCTTCCCTGTTTAAGTGAGTTGGGTTTAATGCGGCTTTATCATTCAAAACTGGCTCCCACAGGAGATATTGCTTGGGTGAGATCAAGCGATATCTACATTGTAGATATCGCTGCAAAGAAATTGCATCACAATGCTTTGCAGACCATTATGACAATCAAATGACATCACTAATGGCTCTGCTACTGAAGCTGTTAGCAGTACTTTTTACACTTAAGACATTGTCTCGACATTGGCATGTCTGAAGTATTTCAGCCCTGCGGGGCTAAGAACATTTGTTTGTTTGTTGTTTGTTGTTCAATGCCTCACTCAGCAATATTCCAGCTTTATGACAGCAGTCTGTAAATAATCTAAGACCAGACAATCCAGTGATTGACATCATGAGCATCAATCCACCCAATTAGGATACCATGACATGCATCAACCAAGTCAGCGAGTCTGACCAGCCGATCCCGCTAGTCGCCTCTTACAACAAGCGAAGTCGCCTTTTACAGCAAGCATGGGTTGCTGAAGACCTATTCTACCCCGGAATCCTCGCCAAGAACAAAACATCATTCAGCATGCACTGTACAACAGTGAGGAACATCATCACATGAGGTGGAAGCGACTCACTCATCAGGTGTATCTTGATTCTGGCAATGGAAGAGGCACTTCCCGCCTCGTTGTCAGCAAGACACTGGTAGTATGCCGAGTGTACGTCTTCCACACCGTAGATACGCAGCTGGTTCCTGTCCTCCTTGACCAGCTGTGGGGACAAAGAGACAGGTACACATCACAGACACGGATAGACAGGTACACATCACAGACACGGATAGACAGGTACACGTCACAGTCACGGATAGACAGGTACACATCACAGTCACAGATAGACAGGTACACGTCACAGTCACGGATAGACAGGTACACATCACAGTCACAGATAGACAGGTACACATCACAGACACGGATAGACAGGTACACGTCACAGTCACGGATAGACAGGTACACATCACAGTCACGGATAGACAGGTACACGTCACAGTCACGGATAGACAGGTACACATCACAGTCATGGATAGACAGGTACACATCACAGTCACAGATAGACAGGTACACATCACAGACACGGATAGACAGGTACACGTCACAGTCACGGATAGACAGGTACACATCACAGTCACAGATAGACAGGTACACGTCACAGTCACGGATAGACAGGTACACATCACAGTCACAGATAGACAGGTACATGTCACAGTCACGGATAGACAGGTACACATCACAGTCATGGATAGACAGGTATACATCACAGTCATGGATAGACAGGTATAGGCCACAGTCACGGATAGACAGGTACACGTCACAGTCACGGATAGACAGGTACACATCTCTGTCATGGATAGACAGATACACATCACAGTCATAGATAGACAGGTACACATCACAGATACGGATAGACAGGTACACGTCACAGTCACGGATAGACAGGTACACATCACAGTCACGGATAGACAGGTACACGTCACAGTCACGGATAGACAGGTACACATCACAGTCACGGATAGACAGGTACACGTCACAGTCACGGATAGACAGGTACACATCTCTGTCATGGATAGACAGATACACATCACAGTCACAGATAGACAGGTACACGTCACAGTCACGGATAGACAGGTACACATCACCGTCATGGATAGACAGGTACACATCACAGTCACAGATAGACAGGTACACATCACAGTCACGGATAGAAAGGTACACATCACAGTCACGGATAGACAGGTACACATCACTGTCATGGATAGACAGGTACACGTCACTGTCACGGATAGACAGGTACACATCACTGTCATGGATAGACAGGTACACGTCACTGTCACGGATAGACAGGTACACTTCACCGTCATGTATAGACAGGTACACATCACAGACATGCACAGACAGGTACACGTCACTGTCACGGATAGACAGGTGTTACAATCACAGATAGACAGGTGTCTCAGTTACAGATAGACAGGTTTCACAGGGACAGGTGTCAATCACAGATAGACAGGTGTCACAGTCACAGATAGACAGATGTCAGTCACAGGTAGACAGGTGTCAGTCACAGGTAGACAGGTGTCACAGTCAACGATAGACAGGTTTCAGTCACAGATAGACAGGTGTCAGTCACAGATAGACAGGTGTCAGTCACAGATAGACAGGTGTTAGTCACAGGTAGACAGGTGTCAGTCACAGATAGACAGGTGTCAGTCACAGATAGATAGTGGTCAGTCACAGATAGACAGGTGTCAGTCACAGACAGGTGTCACAATCACAGATAGACAGGTGTCGCGGTCACAGATAGACAGATGTCAGTCACAGGTAGACAGGTGTCAGTCACAGATAGACAGGTGTCACAGTCACAGGTAGACAGGTGTCAGTCACAGATAGACAGGTGTCAGTCACAGGTAGACAGGTGTCAGTCACAGATAGACAGGTGTCAGTCACAGGTAGACAGGTGTCAGTCACAGATAGACAGGTGTCAGTCACAGATAGACATGTGTCACAGTCACAGATAGACAGGTGTCAGTCACAGGTAGACAGGTGTCAGTCACAGATAGTCATGTGTCAGTCAGATAGACAGATGTCAGTCACAGGTAGACAGGTGTCAGTCACAGATAGACTGCTGTTAGTCACAGATAGACAGGTGTCAGTCACAGATAGACAAGTGTCAGTCACAGGTTGACAGGTGTCAGTCAGTCACAGATAGACAGGTGTCAGGCACAGATTGATGGGTGTCAGTCACAGATAGACAGGTGTCAGTCAGTCACAGATAGACAGGTGTCAGTCACAGATAGACAAGTGTCAGTCACAGGTAGACAGGTGTCAGTCAGTCACAGATAGACAGGTGTCAGTCACAGATAGACAGGTGTCAGTCACAGGTAGACAGGAGTCAGCCACAGATAGACAGGTGTCAGTCAGTCACAGATAGACTGGTGTCAGTCACAGATAGACAGGTGTCAGTCACAGGTAGACAGGTGTCAGTCACAGGTAGACAGGTGTCACAGATAGAAAAGTGTCAGTCACAGACATAAATCTGAATGTCTAAGTTTACTTTTAACCAAATGTAAAGATAGATATATTAATGTAAGCCCAATGATCATACCAGGGCACCAGACAGACCAATCTGACTCACTGTTCCAAATCGGCCACCGGGAAACACTTCCTGTCCGTCCTTCAGCCAGTGCACTGTGGGTGGCGGCTCTCCGTTCACCTTGCACTCCAACACGATGTTCCTGGCCACGGGGTGAGTGGCGCTCTGGGGCCCGATCTCGATCACAGGCTTCACTGAAACAACACAAACACAGTCAGCACACATAATCAGTGGGTAAATGATGTTTGGTGCTGTATGTCCAGCTGTATCACTCCTATATCAACAACAAGAAGATAACCCAAACCTTCAATAATAATAAACATCATCATCATAATAATAATAACAGGATCATCCCAATCCTCTTTGCTGCATTTTTTTAATTATAATCGGTACACCATGATGATGATCATCATTATAATAGCAGGATCATCCAAACCCTCTTTGCTGCATTTGTTATTTTAATCGGTACATAATAACAGAATTGTGTTTGTTCATGTTGTAAAGAATAGTTAATGTTAACTATAAAAACAAGAGACATCATGAGTGAGTGAGTGAGTATGCTTTACACCGCTTTTAGCAATATTCCAGCAATATCACGGCGGGGGACACCAGAAATGGGCTTCACACAGTTATGTCCCATCTAAGCCTCTCCTATGGACCAATCAGATTCCACCTCTCGTATCACTTGCATTTGTTTCAAAATGGTGCCGCTCCGTCAAAACGATCTGATTGATAATCAAGATCTATATTGTGATAAAACGGGTCTTACATAGCGAAGTGCATCAAATCACGTGAGCACCTTGATTAAAAACATGAAAAGACTTGGAAAATATCCTTTGACAACGAGTTGGCAGTGCACATGCTTTGCAAATCCTGCAATCGACAGAAATCTACACGACATTTTAAAAACCGGATTTCGACTTCGGTGCGCGACTTTGATTGGACTATGCATAGACTAGTTAGCCCAGCCAAAATGTAACTCCATAATACCAGCCTAGTTCGGCAAGGGTGGAAACTCGACTTTTATAGTCAGTTAACTCTCTTGCATCGGGAAGATGGGGGGAGATAGGCACTGGGGTGGCTTTATGTCATGAGAAAATCCGATTTTACTTTCCCCATTGCAGACACTATCCACTAAATAGAAGAAAATTACATGGATCAAGGGCAGTAACTGTGTAAGCACAACATCTAAGAACATTTAGCAAGGGATGTAACTCTGGCAAAACATCATTAACAAGTGTCTCAGACAAGCATGCAAACTTTCATTCATGTAACTTCAGTAGTTTCTGGGAAAACTTGTCCCCACTCCAGACACTATGCACTAAGTTGAAAAGCACAGAGCAAGGGCCATAACTCTGTAAAAATATAATAAACGGCAGCAATTTTCAAACTCAGTCTTAACAAGGATCTCTTAGTTAAGCATGCAAACTTTGATTCATGTAACTTCAGTAGTTTCTGGGAAAACATGTCCCCATTTCACACAGTATGCACTAAGTTGAAAAGCATGGAATAATAAAGGGCAATAACTCTGTAAAAAATGAATTTAAAACACCATTTTCAACTCATTCAAGATCGTGACCATATTCTAAGTTTGCTATATTTTACATTAATTATAATAATTAAGAACACGCATGTGGCAAGTAAAGTCCAGCAAGCGCCCTTGTTTGAAATCTAGATCTCCGATAATTCCTATCATTGTAAAGTACATATCCTAACGATGACATACAACATTTATGTCAGTGTATACATTCATTGAGAATTGTCCATGTTTAATTTACCGATGAAAAACCTGTTGAAATTGTCAGTGTTTTTGACATCAAAACAAAATTGACAAAGTGGTAGTGATTAGTTCATGCTCAGACTGTTTTAAAGATATGTTACAATACGACACTTGGATTAAATATCTTGATGAGATCCTGGTTTTGTCCGTATATGTTTCAGAGTCAGTGCTCTTTTATTAGAGATTAAAACAATTCCAGGATGATTGACATCCGACATGTTCAAAGGACAAAATATAATAGATGACTAAACAGCTCAAACAATCCTCTAACTGACATAGCTCATTATCGGACATCATTATTATTTCTTAATAATTAACAAAATTATACTAACATACTATCACCCCAAAGTAAGTACATGTAGGTTAAATCAAAATCGTCAAAACGTTTTTCATTGGCAGCAAATCTATTCAGCAACCTATTTTCATTCACTCGAAAGTCAGGCAACATGTCATAAAGCATCGATTCATCATGCAATCACGAGGACCGTCTATTTATACTTCAGGTATTATGATGTGTTGTTAATAGTTTAAACATAATTAATAAAAAGCTTGAAACGTGATATAACTGGACAATTTTGATACTTGAACTTGAAAGCTCAAGAAGTGTGGAGTAGGCTATATTTAAAACACGGAACCGATAAGTTAACCTTCGCAGGTAAAAGAAAATATGAGTATATTTACAGTACAATAATAAGTAATATCTAGATCAAGTGAAAATACGAAAATATGAATTACCTGGATTACATTATTGTTAAAAAACAACATTTTCTTTCATTTTATTTTAACAAATTGTTATTAAGGATACAAATTAAACAAATTAACAGTGTTTTCACTATCCCCCACCATGGGACACAACAGAATTTTGTTTGTTTGTATAGTAGTGACCAATAGGAAGTTAATGTTAACTTTAAAAAAACAGTCCTATAAAGCCTTAAGTGTTATTGAGTGAGTGAGTTGGGTTTAACGCCGCTTTTAACAGTATTCCAGTTATATCACGCTGTGTCAGCTTAATGTGGGAGGAAAGCCCCAAGTGATGCAGGTCTTAGACGTTTACCACTTCGGTGAAACCCACAAGCACGGGTATGGCGCTGACAAACCTAAAAACATAATCGGGGCGAACCGGGATTCGAACCCACAATCATAGGTTTCTGGCGTGCCCAAGGGACGCAACTCTGCACAGCGAATCGCGGCGCCTTAGACGACTGGGCCAACCTGCCCCACAGAAGGGAAGAGATTCTCATAGGGAGGCACCTGCACCAAAGGACTTAGTTTGTATTTGGTCATTTGGAAGTTGGTCATTTGATTGGAAATTTCTGGTAGGTTTCTCCTGCTACAAATCGACTACTGGATTGTACCCAATGGATGTCCAGGCATGCTGAGACAAGGTCAACGCTGTTTGTCGGAGGCCAGCAGGAAGAAGCCAACACACCAAATCCTGGGATTCGTACAATCTATCAGAGCCTAGCTGTGTGACATGATACTCACCAAGTACAAGTAGAGTGTTGTTGTATTCAAAGACTCTATCAGAGCCTAGCTGTGTGACATGATACTCACCAAGTACACGTAGAGTGTTGTTGTATTCAAAGACTCTATCAGAGCCTAGCTGTGTGACATGATACTCACCAAGTACACGTAGAGTGTTGTTGTATTCAAAGACTCTATCCGAGCCCGGCTGTGTGATGTGATACTCACCAAGTACACGTAGAGTGTTGTTGTATTCAAAGACTCTATCAGAGCCTAGCTGTGTGACATGATACTCACCAAGTACACGTAGAGTTTTGTTGTATTCAAAGACTCTATCAGAGCCCGGCTGCGTGATGTGATACTCATCAAGTACACGTAGAGTGTTGTTGTATTCAAAGACTCTATCAGAGACCGGCTGCGTGATGTGATACTCACCAAGTACACGTAGAGTGTTGTTGTATTCAAAGACTCTATCAGAGCCTAGCTGTGTGACATGATACTCACCAAGTACACGTAGAGTGTTGTTGTATTCAAAGACTCTATCAGAGCCTAGCTGTGTGACATGATACTCACCAAGTACACGTAGAGTGTTGTTGTATTCAAAGACTCTATCAGAGCCTAGCTGCGTGACATGGTACTCACCAAGTACACGTAGAGTGTTGTTGTATTCAAAGACTCTATCAGAGCCTAGCTGCGTGACATGGTACTCACCAAGTACACATAGAGTGTTGTTGTATTCAAAGACTCTATCAGATCCTAGCTGTGTGACATGTACTCACCAAGTACACATAGAGTGTTGTTGTATTCAAAAACCCTATCAGAGCCTGGGTGTGTGACATGATACTCACCAAGTACACATAGAGTGTTGTTGTATTCAAAGACTCTATCAGAGCCTGGCTGTGTGACATGATACTCACCAAGTACACGTAGAGTGTTGTTGTATTCAAAGACTCTATCAGAGCCTAGCTGTGTGACATGATACTCACCAAGTACACGTAGAGTGTTGTTGTATTCAATAACTCTATCAGAGCCTAGCTGTGTGACATGATACTCACCAAGTACACGTAGAGTGTTGTTGTATTCAAAGACTCTATCAGAGCCTAGCTGTGTGACATGGTACTCACCAAGTACACGTAGAGTGTTGTTGTATTCAAAGACTCTATCAGAGCCTAGCTGCGTGACATGATACTCACCAAGTACACGTAGAGTGTTGTTGTATTCAAAGACTCTATCAGAGCCTGGCTGTGTGATGTGACACTTGTAGACACCGGCGTGCTTCTTCCAGACTTTCCTGAAGTGGAGACTTCCTCCGTACCATTTCTCGACCTCATCGAACAGCACTTCCTGGCCTGGAACAAAACAGTTGTCTCAGTACACGCCTAGACGCTGTGCAAGCCCGGACAGACACAGAACAAGGCCAGACAAATTGCAACCCCGAATCCCCTCTGGACATATGCAATGATTGTTATATTACATCACGGCTATTGTTAATGCTCTAGCTTTTTCGGGGAGTAATTTTTTTATTTTCTAGTATGAGAGGAGAGGAGCAGAAAAGACATAATAAAGCATTAGAACAACTCGAAGCAGCCCAGTCATAATTGGCCAGACGCAGAATGAAGTGATTAGATTTTAATAATGATGAACTGCGTAAAGAGGGGCATTCAGTTCAAACGTTTAAGGATGTTGAATCTGCCATGCACGAATACTTCCTTGATGCGGCAGAACCATCATTACCTATACTACGTGTCAGCTTAATGTGGGAGGAAAGCCCAAAGAGATGTTTGTTTGCTTGTTGTTAAACACTGCTCTATCAACACCGCAATATTCCAGCTATATCACAGCGGTCTGAAAATAATCAAGTCTGAGCCAGACAATCCAGTGATTGATATCATGAGCATCAATCCATGCAATTGGGATCGATGACATGAATCAACCAAGTCAGCGAGCCTGACCACCTTATCCTGTTAGTCGCCTCTTACGACAAGCATAGTCGCCTCTTTCAGCAAGCATGTGTTGTTGAATGCCTTTTCTCTATGCAGGTATGCACGGGTTAAGCAGTTATGAGGCTGACAGACCCGAAATCCTTACACAAGTGAATTTAAACTGCTCAGCCAGGCTGACTAACTTGCAACTTGAAGATCTGGTATGAATTGGTCTTCAGCAACTAATGCTTGTTGTAAAAGGAAAGCAACAGATTCGTGTGGTCAGACTTGCTGACTTGGTTGATGCATGTCATCATATCCCAGTTGATAGATTGGTGCTCATGATATCAATCACTGGATTGTCTGGTCCAGGTTTGATTCTTTATAGACCACATGTTGTTATTATTATTATTATTATTATTATTATTATTATTATATACTGCAGGTCTCCAGGTACTAGTATCTGCTCAAATGCGGTTTATTTGAACCCAAACAAGTGGAAATGTTTGCATTCTAGGTAACATTCTCAACTCCCTTGGGAGAATGCAATCCAAGCTGCCTACGGGGGCTAGAGGGTACTGGGTGAACAGATGCACATATCAACTAAGTCACATGTCCAGGGTGACGCCACACGTTTTGAACCAGTGTTTCAGTGTAGGAATATAGCTGGAATATTGCTAAGTGGTGTTAAAAACAAACAAACAAACAAAACAACTTTGCACAAGGAAAAGTGGCATATTGATACCCTCCTTTTGAGGTAGCAATCATCATTAAAATCATATTTATCATTCTCACCATCCCTGGTCCATGTTATTGTTGGTGATGGGTTGCCGTCGGCGATGCACTCAATCGTGGCCGAGTCCCCATTAAGGACAGAGGTCTGGTTCACTGGCACCGCAAGGATCCTGAGGAACGGTTTTGTCACTGGAATCAAAAATAAAATATAATCAGAAAATAAAACAGATTATAATCATGTAAAGAGGTGAGGTGAGGTGAGGTGAAATTGGGTTTAACATCGCGTCCAAGATTATTGCACTTATATAGCGACGTGCATGTACGTGTGTGTGTGTCTGTGTGGCTGCTTGTATTAGTCTGGACTGATGCCAATTTATAGTGCTAGCTCACTGAGATACCTTGCTGCAGTTTAACATGAATACCCCACTCAGACACAGTATACTGAGAGTTAACTGACTATAAAAGTCCAGTTTCCACCCTTGCCGAAATTGGCTGGAATTACTGGGCTCGATTGTAGCGCCACCAGAGGCTATTACGAGTTATGTCCATTCTAAGCCTCTCCTATGGACTAATCAGATTCCACCTCTTGTATCACTTGCGTTTGCTTCACACAAAATGGTGGCGTCTAGTCAGGACAATCTGATCGATAATCAAGATCTATATTGTGACAAAATGGGTCTTACATCGTGAAATGCATCAAATCACGTGAGCACCTTGATTAAAAACATGTAAAGATTTGGAAAATATCTGCTGACAACGAGTTGGCGGTGCACATCCTTTGCAAATCCAGCAAACGATTGAAATCTGCACGACAGTTTACGAACCGGATTTCGATTTCGGTGCGCAATCTGATTGGACTATGCATAGACTCGTTAGTGTAGCCAAAATGTAACTCCATAATACCAGCCTAGTTCGGCAAGGGTTGAAACTGGACTTTTATAGTCAGTTAACTCCCTTGCCTCGGGAAGATGGCTGAGTGCGGCATTGTTGCTCCCACAAAACACTTTCTGTGAACTTACCCTCGCTCGGCGCCTCGTTCACAGTCAAGATGGCCTCTCGGCTGTTTCGCCAGTGAAAATGTGTGGCACCTCCATCAATGTCAAAGAACGCTTTGTTAGCCACGAGACATCGGTAGCTGCCAGCATCAGTAGCCTTTGCATGGTTGACTTGAAGCTTCCCTGACTGGTAGAGGATGTACCTGCAATAGGATTGACCAGTTATGTAGATGCAATATGATTGACAGTGATGTACCTGCAATATGATTGACAGTGATATACCTGCAATATGATTGACAGTGATTTACCTGCAATATGATTGACAGTAATGTACCTGCAATATGATTGACAGTGATGTACCTGCAATAGGATTGACCATTGATATACCTGCAATATGATTGACCATTGATATACCTGCAATGTTATTGACCAGTGATTTATGATGCCGTTGCTTGTGCATGTGTGCTTTACAATTGAGGCCACCTACTTCGAGTTGTCGGCTGTGATTGGTTGTCTGTTTCGCTCCCAGACGAAGTGGGCCTCAGTCACAGCATGTATGGAACAGTTGAACACCACAGTCCTGTTCACATCGACGCTTTGGGAGATTGGCTCCAAAGTAAAAGTTTTGGATATTCCTAAAACAAAAGGAAGATATATATATAATCATTGTGTCAAATGAATGAAGACCAACACGGATCATTGGGATACGTTCTGCCCTAGATCTCCACAGAGAGACAAGCATGAGGTACTGGGGACACGTTCTGCCCTAGATCTCCACAGGGAAACAAGCATGAGGTACTGGGGATACGTTCTGCCCTAGATCTCCACAGGGAGACAAGCATGAGGTACTGGGGATACGTTCTACCCTAGAATCACCACAGGGAGACGTGCATGAGGTACTGGGGACATGTTCTGCCCTAGATCTCCACAGGGAGACCAGCATGAGGTACTGGGGATGTGTTCTGCCCTAGAATCTCCACAGGGAGATAAGCATGTGGTACTGGGGACACGTTCTGCCCTAGAATCTCCACAGGGAGACAAGCATGAGGTACTGGGGACATGTGCTGCCCTAGAATCTCCACAGGGAGACAAGCATGAGGTACTGGGGACATGTGTTGCCCTAGAATCTCCATAGGGAGACAAGCATGAGGTACTGGGGACATGTGCTGCCCTAGATTCTCTACAGGGAGACAAGCATGAGGTACTGGGGACATGTGCTGCCCTAGAATCTCCATAGGGAGACAAGCATGAGGTACTGGGGACATGTGCTGCCCTAGAATCTCTACAGGGAGACAAGCATGAGGTACTGGGGACATGTGCTGCCCTAGAATCTCCATAGGGAGACAAGCATGAGGTACTGGGGACATGTTCTGCCCTAGAATCTCCACAGGGAGACCAGCATGGGGTGTTGACGGCCTACTTTGCTCTGGAACCCCCACAGGGAGACAAGCATGAGGTACTGGGTATACGTTCTGCCCTTGAATCCCCATAAGAAGACATGCATGGGGTATTGACGGCCTACTTTACTCTGGAATCCCCACAGGGAGAGAGACCCGTGAAGATTCCGAGGTAGAATAGGTCTTCAGCAACCCATGCTTGCCATAAAAGGTGGCTATGCTATGATCGGGTGGTCAGGCTCGCTGACTTGGTTGATACATGTCATCGATCCCAATTGCATGGATCGATGCTCGTGATATCAATCACTGGATTGTCTGGTCCAGACTCGATTATTTACAGACCCCCGTCATATCGCTTGAATATTGCTGAGTGCAGCGTTAAGCAACAAACCAACCAACCAACACAGGGAGAGAGGCATGAGGTACCAGGGCCCTATTCTTCCCAGGTGAATATTAGTGTCATTTATAACAGTCTTTTGATTCGATATAATGTATGGAGGGCTTGCTCAAATTTTGAAATTACATCTATGAGAACTCTCAATTAGAGGTGAGGTGAAATTGGGTTTAACGTCGCGTCCAAGATTATTGCACTTATATAGCGACGTGCATGCACGTGTATGTGTGTGTGTGGCTGCTTGTACTAGTCCGGACTGATGCCGATTTATAGTGCTAGCTCACTGAGATACCATGCCGCAGTTTAACATGAATATTCCACTAAGACACAGTATACTGACTCCGAGCCGACCAGTCCTTGTTTTAGCCCCTTAATGCCGAGCGCCAGACAGGGTAACAACAAGTACAATCTTTTAACGTCTTTTTGTATGACACGGCCCGGGATCGAACCCTGGACCTTCCGCTCTCCGGGCGGACGCTCTACCACAAGACCATGGAGGCGGTCACTCTCAATTAGAAGAGCAATTATTACTGGTCACTGATGTCCAGCTCATGAGCGGAGAAAACGTGTACAGAGTGAAAAGAAAGATGGACACTACTTCCAAAACGAAGCTGTGGTGGCGATGTGTCCAGGGTATTTACCCATCTAACACACCCAGGGCTCAAAGTGAGTGAGTGAGTGAGTGAGTGAGTGAGTGAGCGAGTGAGCGAATGAGTAAGTGTGTGGTTTTACGTCGCTTTTAGCAATATTCCAGCAATATCACGGCGGGGGACACCAGAAATAGGCTTCGCACATTGTACCCATGTCGGGAATCGAACCCGGGTCTTCAGCATAACATGCCAATGCTTTAACCACTAGGCTACCTGACCGCCCATCCCAGGGCTCGAAATAATTCGTAAACCATATTGTCCGGCAGGGCAAGTAGATGATAGTTTGTACTTGTCCTGCAATTTTTTCACTTGACCTGTTAAATTCCATCAAGTTTTATGTTCTCCGTTATTATTTACAGCAGACAGTACAAAATAATTTGGTGTCTCCGCCATCTACGTTCATCTCTGCCCATTCAAACTCTCTCAACCATGTGTCTTGCACAGTTTGTTTTCATTTTTTACAGTCATACAGTTTTTGAGAAATTTTCCTTTTTTCGGGCTGTTTGTTAATTTAAATCTTGTTTATTTGTCGTTAACCACAACACTCAGATAAAAAACTTCCATATGTCAGCCATTACTCTCACAAATCAATAATCAGCTGTTCACTATCGCTTTGACATTTGAGCGTCAGTAACGAATCGCTTACAAGAGAAACATTTTTTTTTTTTTTTAAAAAGCTTCGACAAACGTACTACATGTTTATTTCGGTAACAGACAGTTGCCAAGTATGTCGTCTATTTATGATATGACCGACATGTTTATATTCCTTTGATGGTGTGAGAGATGAAAGCATACGTTAGGTTTGAAATTATTTTGCATAATTTATTGAAAAAGATTTGAGGTAGGACGAGCATCTTCAATTTGCCTTCTCTATGTACATGCCACTTGCCAATACAAGCCTAGGACTGGATTTTTTTTAACCCTGACACACCAGTGAGTGAGTGAGTGAGTGAGTGAGTGAGTGAGTGAGTGAGTGAGTGAGTGAGTGAGTGAGTGAGTGAGTGAGTGAGTGATCGAGTTAAAAATTTTCAGCAATATTTCAGCCATCTTGTGACTATCAATAATTAAACGTAACACATATATTGAAACTGATATAAAGACCTGTCAACGAAGGACAGTAACATAACTAGATTTATCACAGGAAAAGATATAAAACAAGTACGGAATCATACAAAAGAATAGCACTATACATAACGATACAAGATAAAAACGGGCTATAGATCGCGAGCAACTGAAGGCAGACCACCATACTGGGGACCATGAGGACTTACAATATCTTTGCTACCTGCATGGACCCCAGCAGGACCCCAGGATGTGACTCGAGCGATAGCAGTGTTTTGTTTCCTGCATGGGTTTGCTGGAATAATGTACATTGTGTGTCCTGGACCCACTTGCACAAAGCAATCTTAGCGCTAAGATGATCGTAACGTCCATACTTTAACATAGACTTACAATAGTCTTAGCGCTAAGATCGCTTTGTGCAAGTGGGCCCATGAGGACGCAAACACTATGGAATCTGTTGGCCACCCAACAGTACCATAACAACTAAGAATGTTGCCCTACATAAAACTGACGTTTATTCTGATAACGAAGATTATCATCCAAAACTGGCTCCCACAGGAGATGTCGCTTGGATGAGATCAAGCGATATCTACATTATAGATATCGCTGCAATGAAATTGCATCACAATGCTGTGCAGACCATTGTGACGTCACTGGTTACCATGACGTCACAATCAAATGACATCACTAATGGCTCTGCTACTGAAGCTGTCAGCAGTACTTTTTACACTTAAAACACTGCCAATTACTGTCTACAAATTGAAAAAGTTGGAAGCATGATGTTGGATGATAAATAAAATCTCACCCTCATGTCTTTTGATATCAAATATATCAACACGAGTTGATAAAAGTGGAAAAATTCTGTGGCTTGCCGAGGATTTTTGCCACTTTTATCAACTCGTGTTGATATAATTGATATCAAAAGACACGAGGGTGAGATTCTCTATCTCTCAAGGTTCAGTGTCAGAGGTTGATTTTCGTCAATGTAACATTACAATTCCCATAAAAACTGACGAGCGAAAGAAAGCATACGCCCATGTTTGATGGTGCCTGTATTTGATTTTCGTCAATATAACATTACAATTCCCATAAAAACTGACGAGCGAAAGAAAGCATACGCCCATGTTTGATGGTGGCTGTGGTTGATTTTCGTCAATGTAACATTACAATTCCCATAAAAACTGACGGGTGAAAGAAAGCATACGCCCATGTTTGATGGTGCCTGTATTTGATTTTCGTCAATATAACATTACAATTCCCATAAAAACTGACGAGCAAAAGAAAGCCTACGCCCATGTTTGATGTTGGCTGTGGTTGATTTTCGTCAATGTAACATTACAATTCCCATAAAAACTGACGAGCGAAAGAAAGCATACGCCCATGTTTGATGGTGGCTGTGGTTGATTTTCGTCAATGTAACATTACAATTCCCATAAAAACTAACGGGCGAAAGAAAGCCTACGCCCATGTTTGATGGTGGCTGTGGTTGATTTTCGTCAATGTAACATTACAATTCCCATAAAAATTAACGGGCGAAAAAAAGCATACGCCCATGTTTGATGGTGGCTGTGGTTGATTTTCGTCAATGTAACATTACAATTCCCATAAAAACTGACGAGTGAAAGAAAGCCTACGCCCATGTTTGATGGTGGCTGTGGTTGATTTTCGTCAATATAACATTACAATTCCCATAAAAACTGACGAGCGAAAGAAAGCATACGCCCATGTTTGATGGTGGCTGTGGTTGATTTTCGTCAATGTAACATTACAATTCCCATAAAAACTGACGAGTGAAAGAAAGCATACGCCCATGTTTGATGGTGGCTGTGGTTGATTTTCGTCAATGTAACATTACAATTCCCATAAAAACTGACGAGCGAAAGAAAGCATACGCCCATGTTTGATGGTGGCGGTGGTTGATTTTCGTCAATGTAACATTACAATTCCCATAAAAACTGACGAGCGAAAGAAAGCATACGCCCATGTTTGATGGTGGCGGTGATTGATTTTCGTCAATGTGACAGTACAATTCCCATAAAAACTGACGTGCGTAAGAAAGCATACGCCCATGTTGGATGGTGGCTAAAAGTGACAAAGAAGAAATGGTTATTCGATGGTGATGTATTTAATAAGGGTATCATAGCTGTGTTTTTTACCTCCAGTTTGCAGCTTTTCGGTGACTGTTTTCAGCCAAATAAAGTGTTGATAACGTTTGTAAATCTTTTTCATCAAATCCATTTTTTAAGTGTATACTTTCTTTAGCCCAGGAGTTTATCACAGGCTAAGGCTTCTGAGCATCTGCAATTATATGACCCAAGCAGTGTCCAAAATAACTGCTTGCCCACCTGCCCGTGGCTGGTAGCTTTTCTGTCGGGCTGCATGAAATTTTCCTCTACCTGCCCGACTGGCTGATAATTTTAAGCTAACTTACGTATTCAGTTTTGTTATAACTCCTCGTAGATTCTCATGTAATTGTTATCATTATTTCAGCTGAATCAAGATGCAATTTATAATGTCTGAATGCAGGCAGGTGACTTTGAAGATGGGCAGACACAGAGCTCCAGATAAGCGTTTGGTGTTGTGGGTATTTTACCCATGTATTTTAAAATCATTGGGTATCAGTAATTCTATCTTGGTATTCAAATTTCTGTTACCCACTAGTTTTTACACATGTGGGAATTTAAGTTAAATATTTAAAAACACTATTCATCTAGTCCCTACAAACTGGTGTCGTGTGGGTTCGAGAGCTTTATAGGACTCAAAAATACCATGATACTTCCACAAGAAAGTGTGATGGCCAATGATCATGACGTAACTGTCATCGTGGAGTTTGGCAAGGTTGACGGAATGCCCGTTTATAATTTCAAAATAAGTTGCTCATTTGCTAATCGAATACGCAGGGTTACTTCACAATATTTTGATGATACGCACAAGTTTTATTTTTGTAGCGTATCTGTAATGTTCGTTGCGTATTTGATACGCTTGGATTATATTTTACTGTGTATTTCTGCATTTCTGATGCGTATTTCACGCAGATACGCATCTTATCTGGAGCTCTGCAGACAACATTTCTTGGTCACTTGCCTGACTGTCTTGTTGGGTTTCAAAATTATTTCAAACACAGGATCCAAGTAGATCCCTGATGGAGGCAGTTACAGTTACTTACGCGCAACTCGGATCTGTACCCGCCTTGCGATGATGGTTCCTACAGAATTAGAAACAAAACACTCGTAAAATCCCTCATCCGTCCGAATGTTGTTCTTGCGATCACGATGAATAATTTGATTGAAGTGAAGGGTCCCATTCCTAAAGACACGGACACGAGCGTGTTCCCCCCGACTTTTTATCTTCACTCCATCCTTCTTCCAGTGATAACTAACAGGGTAGAACTTCTTCTCCACGAGGGCGGAACAGTTGATCGTCAGTGGCTGCTTCCTGAGAACCACCAGTGTGGCGGGGGATTCCTTTACTGCGATGCCGCGGTCCAGCGTGTCGTAGCCATTGATGGGGCGACTAGTTCGTTCAAAGGCTGGAAGGGAAACACAAGAGTTAGCTTCATTGGTGGGTGAGCGAGTATGGTTTTACGCCACTTTTAGTAATATTCCAGGAATATCACGGCAAACCTAGAAACATAATCGGGGCGAACTGGGATTAAATCCCACAATCATAGGTTTCTGGCGTGCCTAAGGGACGCAACTCTGCAAAGCCAATCGCGGCACTTAGACCACTGGGCCACCCGTGCCCCCAAACGTATAGTGCAATATACTGATCCAGTCACATTAAAATCAGATCTTATAGATCTGAGGACGTCACATTTTAGGTCTGCACATATATAATTGTAGCAAAGTTAAAGCAGTTTACTGGGGATAAGAATCAGACACCGTCACTGCTGGCTTTCGAGTCTAATAACTGTCAATAATTTATCTGGCAGACCCAAATACCCAAGACATATTAGACACACCAATCTTGAAGACAAGAGGAAATCAATACAATTTTCACACCACTGACAGAGATTATAGGCTGCTTCAATCAGGAATTAACCAACAAAAACATGTTGAATGACTGTGTTGGACTAAAATGTCGCTTTGAATGGAATTTCAGTTAAATCTTGGCATGACCGCTCAGTGCGATTATATCAAAGTGTGACAGCACAGTATGACAGCTGAGTTCAGTTATATCACAGTATGACCGCTGAGTTCAGTTATATCACAGTGTGACAGCCAAGTTCAGTTATATCACAGTATGACAGCTTAGTTCAGTTATATCACAGTATGACCGCTGAGTTCAGTTATATCACAGTGTGACAGCCAAGTTCAGTTATATCACAGTATGACAGCTTAGTTCAGTTATATCACAGTATGACCGCTGAGTTCAGTTATATCACAGTGTGACAGCCAAGTTCAGTTATATCACAGTATGACAGCTTAGTTCAGTTATATCACAGTATGACCGCTTAGTTTAGTTATACCACAGTATGACAGCTTAGTTTAGTTATATCACAGTATGACAGCTTAGTTTAGTTATACCACAGTATGACAGCTTAGTTTAGTTATATCACAGTATGACAGCTTAGTTTAGTTATATCACAGTTTGACAGCTTAGTTCAGTTATATCACAGTATGACCGCTTAGTTCAGTTATATCACAGTTTGACAGCTTAGTTTAGTTTATCACAGTATGACAGCTTAGTTCAGTTATATCACAGTATGACAGCTTAGTTCAGTTATATCACAGTATGACAGCTTAGTTCAGTTATACCACAGTATGACAGCTTAGTTCAGTTATATCACAGTATGACAGCTTAGTTCAGTTATATCACAGTATGACAGCTTAGTTTAGTTTATCACAGTATGACAGCTTAGTTTAGTTATATCACAGTATGACAGCTTAGTTCAGTTATGTCACAGTATGACAGCTTAGTTAAAAGATAATCAGGTGAGATTATGTTTGGCATCCAAAACAATTCTTCCAACTTTTTCAGTTTGTGATAACCATTTTCTTGTGTGTACAAAGTACAGCTAACCAGCTTCAGTGGCAGAGAGATCAGTGATGTCATTTGATAGTGACGTCACAGTAACCTATGTTTTGATTGTTTGTTGTTTAACGCCGCACTCAGCAATAATCCAGCGATATGACAGCGTTCTGTAAAAAATCGAGCCTGGACCAGACAATCCAGTGATTGACATCATGAGCATCGATCCGCTCAATTGGATACGATGACATGCATCAACCATGTCAGCGAGCCTGACCAACTGATCCTGTTAGTCGCCCCTTACGACAAGCATGGCTTGCTGAAGAACAGTTCTAAACTTTAGCTTCAAGGGGATAACCCATTACATCACAATGGACTGCATGGCATTGTGAGGCAATTTCATTGTTGTGATATCTTTTGGGTGATCTCATGTTGGAGCCAATTTTGCATGTTAAATACTGGCATACAAGCTACTGAGTACAACCAATCAAGGGAGGTAACTCTGTTTGTCTTAATCCCAATTCTGGGTTCACCAGTGCTGATATCAATGAAAGAATTGTTTATCTACACATGCCATCACTATTGCAGTTATGCGTTTCCTCATTTATTTCTGAAGTAAATACATAGAGGATATTTCATGTGTTGAGTGAAATATATGTTTCTCACATCGAGTGATGGGGGGGGGGGGGGGGGGGAGTTGGAAGGAGATATAGATCTACATATGAGAGATGAGATGAGAGGAATATGATATATCACGAGACACAAGAAATATCCTATTTATTACATACTTTTTTTCTTTTTTTTCTCCCAGAAAATTTTATTAGTTCTTTACAAAGGTACAACGTTGAAAAGTAAATTCTCCCTACCTAACAGACAGGGACGGTTCACCACCTCATGTATTTACAACTAAAAAGTAGTTTCGTGTTTGCAAAATCTTAAAAATTCTAAACAGACGTATCAAAAATTATTTAGGGTCAAGCAAATTCTTTGTCATACATTTCGATATTCTTGAAAACAAGGAGACCCTGCTGGAAGCGAAAGAATACACGCTGGTCAAGTAACAAAAATGTCACTTTGCGAAACGAACAGTCTCGATTGACGAGTTAAATGAGAAATTAACAGTTTATAACGATACATTTTTGAGAGAATAACAAACAACAAGAAGTGATATTAACTCCATAAATGACCATCTGTCATTATTTTGCCTTGTCAATGTGGCTCTAACGTAAAAACAACGTCAGCAGTTAGTGTACGGGCTTGCTCTTACGACAAAGGGAGACAATTTAAGGGGATGTAACTCTTGTATGACAATAGTTCCGTCAAAGTGTTATGTTCACTGCAGTGAAATATCGAGTGTTATGTTCACTACTGAGAAATATCAAGTGTTATGTTCACTGCAATGAAAATTTCATTTTTTCTTAACTTCAGAAAACTCAAAGTCTTTCACACTGAAGTATATGATAAAGTATTCAAGCCAATAACCTACCCAAGCATCAAGTCAGGAATTGAGTGAGTGTGTGAGTGAGTTTGATTTTACGCCGCTTTTAGCAATATTCCAGCAATATCACGGCGAGGGACACCAGAAATGGGCTTCACACATTGTACCCATGTCGGGAATCGAACCCGGGACTTTGGCGTGACGAGCTAACGCTTTAACCACCAGGCTACCCGACCGCCCCGTCAGGAATTGAAGTGAAGTAGAATGTTGAATGACAAGTTATCACATCTGTTTGAAAAAATGAGATGAGGGTCGTAGGGCTGGGGCAAGTCCAAATTTACTACCTGGTTACCCAACCTTATCGGGTACCCACTGCAGGTCTCACGAGATGGGTACAAAATGTCTGATTGGGAATTGTTTTACGGCAGCCCTGGCAAAAACGTTTTAGATACATGTATCAAACAATCAGATTATGCATACACTGAAGTTGACTGAAGCTTTGTCTTTTCTCAAACATTTTCAAGTCAAAAGGAGTGGGTGAGTGAGTGAGTATGGTTTTACGCCGCTTTTAGCAATGTTCCAGCAATATCACGGCGGGGGACACCAGAAATGGGCTTCACACATTGTACCCATGTCGGGAATCGAACCCGGGTCTTCGGCGTGACGAGCGAACGCTTTAACCACTAGGCTACCCGACCGCCCCTCAAGTCAAAAGGAATGTGTGCATCATCAGAAAGAAATGCGAATAAACACTGAGCCATAGTAATTTTTTTGTCATTGAACAGCATGTCACATGACTAACTACGGGTCCAGGTAGTACTGTGGGTGGGTACCCGGGTCTGGGAAGCCGAGCCTAGCTCCCCCTTGATCGTAAAATGAGTGAGTGAGTGAGTGAGTATGCTTTTATGCCGCTTTTAGCAATATTCCAGCAATATCACAGGGGGGGACACCAGAAATGGGCTTCACACATTGTACCCATGTCGGGAATCGAACCCGGGTCTTCTGCGTGATGAGCGCTTTAACCACTAGGCTACCCGACCGCCCCTGATCGTAAAATGATTTAACAATCGGTTTATTGACTTTAAGTGCTTACCAATAGCAATATATCGATATTTCCATTTATAGTGACATCCCTAATGGACATATCTATTCTGGTAAGGATCGCACTTCGCAAATCTAACGTTGGAAAATGGGGCTGAGGTTGAAAAATAACCCAGGTCCTCATTTTAGGTCAATTCAAGTTACCTGGAATATATGATACGCGTGTGTACGCGCGTGCGCGTGCGCGCTCGTGTGTGCGTGTGTGAAGCGTGGGCGGTTAAATAAAAGAATCTTACCGGATAAATTGCAAGTCTTGGAGGTAACATAGCTGAAACGTACACCTGACATTTACCATTGGCCATTATGGGCCAGATTTCTTTAGCCAAACTTGATCCCGACCATCACGACAAGCAATCTGTTTTCTGTTCACCAAAATGTCCTAAAGCAATATCAACGGACTTTGGCAACAAACATGATGTCCTAAATTAGATTTCCTTGTCAAGAACGTATTATTTGATTAATTTCTTTTTTGTTTGATCAAGTGTTATTTCTATGTCTTCGCGGCCTTGATACAGCTGGTGAACTAATAACAATATTTAGTGCATCTAAGCGTTTATCAGGTGACCGACGGAGACCGGAGAATAATGAATACGACCATTCGACCACGATTTCACATAACGTCTGGAGTTTGTTTTACAGGTTATTGTATCAGGCGTACTTGTGGGTCACGTGACTGGTCAGGGACATTTCCAATACATTTAATTAATTCCCTACGATGCAGCCGTTATCGTATGTATCGCACATAAGTTCACAGCGTTCGAAATACCTGCCTGCCCGACCGTCCGAGACGGGTTGATTTCAACTCGGGCTGCCAGATTTTCAAATCCCCCTGTCCGACGGTCGGGTCATATTTCATATGTGAAAATATTCTAAATATTTCCCGATGATAAGCATTAATTCACATGTAAAGAAGAATGATAAAATGTAACCAAAAAGAAATCCCGTTAGCTTTTAGACAACCTAACATTTAACGATGCGCCTATGCTACAAGCAATCAGTTTTCATATTTTTAATTAAAT